TAAAATTTGAACCCAACAGATTTGCATCTGTTTATTCAAACTGAACAGGTAACATACCTATTCAAACAGGTTTTGCACCTGTTTAATTCAAACCATACAGCTACAAATTTTCCTATATAAAGGCAGTCCCTCATTTCGATTTTTGACTCCAATTTTCGTTCTTCTCTGCTGCCATTCATCTCTGCATTTTTCTACATTAATTACATTAGTTTTCTGTGAAAGAGAGTGTATACACAAAGTATGTTCGTTGTGCAAACAATTTGTATGTATTCGTGATGTGAATAGTGTTTAGTGCTGTTACTATTCATTGTTGATCATTTTATCCTGAGAAATAGACGTCGACAATCTGAAAACACCGTGGAGAGGACGAATCTGTCTTATGGATACATTGTTAAACACTGGACTTGATCAGAAAATTTTGTTCAACAAATTAATTTGGTAAGTAATTAATTTAGTTTTCTGTTTTATTATTTTTTCTGTTTCAAATTTTGATTTTATTTTTGTAACAAAATAAAAATCTGTTTTATTTATTTTAGTTTGTTTTCTGGTTTGCTTTTTGTAATCAAACGAACTTTCTTTTTTTCTTTATTCCGTTTGTTGTTAAGTACACAAATAAAATTTATTTTTTAAATACAATGAAGATTGTCTATCAGCATCTATTTACACCTTTATAAAAATATAATTATTTTAAATTACTTTTCATCTTTTTGTAAATGCAGTTTTTAAAAATAAAATAAAATAAAATAAAAATAGGATGTGAACACCAAAGCAAATAATTAATAGTGAGGCAATTTAATAAGGCATCTTTTGGAAAGGCAAAAAAAAAGACAATTTATTGATTTATTGGTTTATTTAAACTATATTATCTTTCTATTTATTTAATTTTTTTGTACGTTTTTTTATAATAAGCCAATAAATAAATAATAAAAAGTCACTTCCCAAAATTAGTGTCGGTGGTGGAAAGAAGCAACTTGAGAATTGGGAATTGAGCCTGTGTTTAGGAAGGTAGTTTGAGGCTAAATTAGTCACATACGGACAAAAGTGGCTAATTCAGCCACATGGAGACAAAAGCATGGCAGGAACTTGGCAACAACCATTTCACAAGTAAATTTACGAAACTACCCCCACATGAAAGAGGGGCTAATTTAGCCTCAGCGTCAGAAATATTCAAAGTAAAAAAAAAAAACCTTTTTCCAAAAAACATATTTTCCCAGAAAAAACAAAGAAAGTTGAAAAAAAAAATTAAAAACATTTTTTTTTTGTTTTTTGTTAAAATATTTTATAAAAATAAATTCAAACCCTATTTTATAAAAATATTTTAAAAATATTTTAATTTTTTTTGTTATGTATTTGATTATGATTTGAGTGTAGAGTTGTGAAAGTAGTATGAAATTTCGAGTTATGTGTTTGATTATGAGTTAACTCAATAATTTATTAGTTGAGTTTCATTTTATATGTTTGGTTATGACTTGAGTGTAGAGTTGTTTTTAAATTTAAAATATTAAACATTCTACAATTATAAAAATTTTGAATATTTAAATTATTTAATTTTTATGATTTAAATTTTTTGAATATTTATTTTAAATTTTTGCTTATTAAATTATTTACATATTTAATATTTATATTAAATTAAATTAAAATTAAAATTAAAATACACAGGACAATAAAATAAAACCTCACTTTTTATCATTTCACAGAAAATGAAAAAAAAATAAAAAAATAAATAAAAAACACATGAAAAAACCATTTGCAAAAAAAAAAAAACTTAAAATACATAAATTATTTTTTAAAAAAATACGCCTCATTCAAAAATATTTAAAAATATTTAAAAAATTACAAAAACGTAAATTCAAAAAAAAAAAAAAGAACGACAAAAATACGCCTCATCCAAAAAGATTAAAAAAAAAACATAAATTACCATTTGCCATGTAATTTACAAATAAATAAAACACATGAAAACCCATTTTTGAAATATAAAAACAAATTAATGTGTATGAATTAAAAAATGACAAAAACGTAAATTAAAAAAAAATAACGAGAAAAATACGCCTCATTAAAAAATATTTAAAAAAAAACATAAAAACATAAATTACCATTTGCGACGTAATTTAAAAATAAATAAAACACATGAAAACTTATTTTTGAAAAATAAAAAAAAGTTATTATATACCAATAAAAATAAAAAAGATAAAAAAAAAATGCCAAATCCAAATCCAAAATAAAAAAAAATAAAAAATTTAAGTAAAATATGCGAAATCCAAACCCAAAATAAAAAAATAAAAAATTAAGCAAAATACACCAAATCCAAAGCCAAAATAAATTTAAAAAAATGAAAAATTTTTTAAAGGAAAATACGCCAAATCCAAACCGAAAAGAAAAAAAAAATCAAACAATTTCGGTCCTGTACATGGCGCTGACGTGGAGAACCATTTGAGTGTGAGTTGCCATGAGAATCATGTGTCAAGGGCAGTTTGGTAATTTACCATAAAGACACCTCACCAAAAAGTCAAAAAGTCAAAAAGTCAAAAAGTCAAAAAGTCCTTTCCAAATCAAGTTTTTTAGCCCCAAGCTAAAATAGCCAAAAAAAAATCAAAAAGCCAAAAAATCAACCCACTTTCCAAACGGAGGCTGAGTGATGTGGTTTATTTTGATAAATTTACTTGAAAATTAAAACTCCATTCATAATTTTCAAAAAGATGATGAACTTCCTTTAAAATTTTAGAATTCTTCATATGCTTTACTTTTAATATTATAATTCTCACAATATTTTTCTTATACCATTCATCTTTTACAGTTGAAATATATTTTATCTTTAATTTTTAATTATGAATGTATTAATATATTATCTATATTAGTTACTCTTACTATAAAAAGATGTTGGTATAATGAGACTTTAGTAGTAGTAAAATTTATGTGTCAATGTTATTCATATGTTTGGTTTTTGTTAAGAATTAATTTTTTTATGAATAAATAATAAAATTTTAGATATTAGGGGTTCTATTATTATTATTTTTACTTTATATGCTTTACTCTTAATTTTTTTCTGCTGTGGTGGACAAAAATCACCCATGTGAAGTGGACCACCCATTATATAGATAGAATAAGAAGTAAAAGATTAAATTAATAATTTGTAATGAAACTTAAAATATAAAATTGAATACAAATCCAATTCGTTCAAATTTTCCTCTACAAACCAATTTTTACAATTTTTTATTACACATTTTTCCATAAAAAGTCAAAAAGTTAACCCAAACATCCATATTTTCAATCTTAATTTTTTAGTCCAAAAAGACAAAAAGTGCACTTATTTAGTCTTCCCAAACTTGGCCTTAATTTGATCACCAGAGTGTCATTCCGCCGACAACTGGTCGTGGAGGGGCATTAATTGTTTATTCTTGGGCATTTATGGAATTGTGCGATTCATTTTTTTCATTAATTGTGCGATTCATTTTTTTCATTAATTTTCATTAATTTTTTTCGTAAATCTTAAAAGTAAACTTATTTTCTAATAGATTCTATGATAATTAATGATTATTTTCATCAAACACTATTAAAAAATGTTACTAATTGTTAATTTTCAGTGACAGCTTGAAAATTGTCACAAAAAATGTCATTAATTATAAGTTTTAACGATAATTTTAAAAAATCGTCACAAAAAAATATCATTCACTGTGTTTGGTTTGAGTTTTTTGAGTTAAGTTTTTTGAAAATTGAGTTTTTGGTTTTTTTGTTTTTAGTGAAGATTTTTAAAATTTTAAATATTTTTTTACTTTTTTAAATGCACCTCACTTAGATGTATCTAAAAAATAAAAAATTTGTGAAAAAATATTTTTAAAAATTAATAAATACATAAAAATATAAAAAATGTACTAAATTCTCGTATTTTTTTTTATATTTTTGGTATTTAGTGAATATTTAAAAGGTTTTTTTCAATTTTTTTTAGTTTTTAGGTATATTTATGTTAGATATGTCTAAAAATTAAAAAAAATTACTCAAAATATTAAAAAAATTCAATAAAAACAAAAAAACACGAAAAATAAGAAAGTAAAATTTTCTGAAAAGTGTTTTTGAAAACTGGCAACCAAGCATAAGTATTAATTTTCAATTTTCAACGAGCGTTACTAATTGTAAGTTTTAACTACAATTTATAAAAATCGTGACAAAAAAAATCACAAATTGTCAATTTTTTTGCAACATATGCACACAAAAAAAATCGTCGCAAAAAATTAATTTTAACGACGATTTTATTATGACTTATTTGCAATAGTACTTGATAAAAATTAAGTCTAACTATTAGGATCTATTAATAGTTTATCTTTATTTTTTATTATTATTTAAATATGAGAGGGAAGATCAATGTGATTTATCATTTTTAAAATGTATATTTTTTTACAATTTTTGTGTGCAAAAGTTATATTTTGTTAGCAATTTATTAGCACAATTTTTCTTATATTTACATCATAATTATTTTACAAACAAAATTTTTGTAAGATTGAAAATGGTGTGCCTCATTGTCATTTCAAATAAAAAATATATTTTTTAGTATTATTTTAGATATGATTTTGTGTAATTATTTTTTGATTATACAGTTTCACTAACAAGTAGGGGGGTTGATTGTTAGGATAAAATTATAAATCAAACCGTAAATAGTAGATTGAGAGGGAAAAAAATCATTTACCATATTTCTATTTTTTTTTTTTTTTGGGTTATAGGAAAATCCTCTCACTCTCCTGCAGGTTCAAGGTAGCGCCCCTCACCAGGGTGTCCTGTTGTCCGTTTCGAATAAGAGACTACAATCTGGAAGCTAAGTAGCTAATAAGGCATCTTTGAGGTCAACCTCCTAACAAACTGTGTTACGCTCAAGAGATTGACCCAGAGGGGCGTTGAACCCAGGACTTAGGGGCTTAAACCCCAGGCCGTTACCAGGTTGCCACTCACCCCTGGTTCATTTACCATATTTCATATTGGGAAACCAAACACTGCCTTGCCACTTGCTATCACCCGCGTAGTGTAACAGAATCAACCGCTCAAAACACCGTCCCTCTCTCTCTCTCTCGAAAACAACAGAGACAGAGGAGAGAGAAACAATCATTCAATCAACAATGGGGTCTCTCCCTCCATGTCCAGACCTCTCACTCCCCTCTTCCAAAGAAACCCTAATCGACCCAAACGACCTCCTCAGCCTCTTCAAATCCCAGCAAAAGTATCTCAATTTCTTCTTCCAAAACCTCGATCTCTCCCAAACCCTAGCCTTCACTCAGACCCTCTTGAACGCCAAGGGCACAATCTTCTTCTCCGGAGTCGGAAAATCAGGCTTCGTCGCCCGGAAAATCTCTCAAACTCTCGTTTCCCTCGGAATCCGATCTGGGTTTCTCTCCCCTGTCGATGCCCTCCATGGCGATATCGGCATTCTCTCCGATTCCGACATTCTGGTGATGTTCAGCAAGAGCGGAAACACCGAGGAGCTATTGCGGCTCGTGCCGTGTGCGAAGGCGAAAGGGGCGTACTTGATCTCTGTGACGTCCTCGGAGTCGAATTCCTTGATGGGTTTGTGTGATTTGAATGTGCATTTGCCTCTGGAGAGGGAATTGTGCCCGTTTGATTTGGCGCCTGTGACCTCGACGGCGATTCAGATGGTTTTCGGGGATACGGTGGCTATTGGGCTGATGGGTGCGAGGAATTTGACTAAGGATGAGTATGCGGCGAATCACCCGGCTGGGAGGATTGGGAAAAGCTTGATTTTCAAGGTGAGGGTTGGTTTGTTTGTTGGCATTTTGAGATTTTTTGGCGTTTGTTAATGGAATTTGTAGGAATGGAGATTTGGATATTTTGAAAATTTGATAGATCTAGGCCTTCATCTTCTTAATCGAATGATTCATATGATCCTTTGATAGTATTTCTGTGTTTTTTTTTTTTATAAATTTTATTTGTTTATTTATTTATTGTGGGAAATCCTTTGATGGTAATAGTATTTCATATTGCAGCTATTCGGTTTCTGTTTCATTTTCAGAGCCATGCAGTTTGCAATCATGTGCTTTATTTGATCCTTTGCTGGTGTTCCAACCGGGTCTGTTTTCAGTTCTGTTTGAGAGAGAGAGAGAGAGAGAGATTGGATTTGTTGGAATGTGTTATTTTGATCTTTTTAAAAATAGAACTCAGACGTAAGTTTTTGTGTTTGGAGGGGGAAATTAGCATTACAGCTGTTCTTTTTTGTTTTCTAGATCTAGGCCTTGAATATGAAACTAGGGCAATATAAGTTAGGTTTGTTGTTGATATTTGTTTCTCGTATTGTTGACAATATGATCTTCCCAGCGCTTCTCACTCAATAAGGGAGATGCTTTTGCGTCCTTCATGTCCGATTTCTTTGATTTTTGGGCTCTCAAAAAGATCTCTTTGGAAATCTCTTTTATTTGATGAACTTATCTGCCTCCTCGAAGCAGGATAGTGCGCCTGCGGTCAAAGGAAAGATGGAAAGACTTGAAATTCTTAAAACGAGTAAGGTTTCACGGGCTAAACTTTCGCACATTAGGCATTTTTTGCTAATAACTGATCTGGGTTTCCTATCTGGGAATCGTATTTATTGGCCTTTTTTTAGTAGATAATGAACAAAAACCCCTGCCCATTCCAACTTTTTTATGGACTGTCCTTTTCCATCTTCAATATTTTAACTATTTTTTTTGGGGGGAAGAGATTGATTTCAGGGACTTGAAAAACCGTGATTGAAAAGTTTTTGCCATCTGAAATTTCGCAAATTTTGTTAGTTCGTCGTTGTGGCTTTTTACTAGAAGAAAGTTTGGAGATGGGATCTTGATGTGATGTTATGTATCTCAGAATTCTGGTTTTGTGTTGTTTTTTCTTATGCTGTCTAAAAAACCAAATTCTAGTTGCTGCTGAATTCCGATTCTGTTGGATTAAACTGCAAGGAAATAATTGTCTTGAAATCCAATTTCATGTTTCGATTGTTTGGATTGGTTGGACTGAATTCTGTGTTTCGCAGGTGAAGGACGTCATGAAAAAGCAAGAGGAGCTTCCTGTCTGCCGGGAAGGAGATATGATTATGGATCAGCTAGTAGAGCTAACTAGTAAAGGATGTGGATGCCTTCTTGTTATTGACGATCAGTACCACCTGATAGGCACATTTACTGATGGAGATCTGCGGCGCACCCTGAAAGCTAGTGGGGAGGGGATTTTCAAACTCACAGTAGGGGAGATGTGCAACAGGTAATTGTCAGAGTCAATATCTTTTGAGGAAATATAGGTTTTAAAGCTAACTGGGTGAAAAGTAATCGATTATGGCAATTGTTTACTTGATTGGATGCTTCTAGACCATCTAGTTTGGACTTGCCTGGCCACTGGGTAAAGTCTGATGTTTCAAACTCTCCAATCATTCTAACGTTCCGATTTGTTTGGCCCGAAAACATTTTCTCAAAAAATAAGATAGAAAAACGGAAGTTAACAAAATAATGTTTTTTGTGGTCAACGGAAAACAATTTTTTTTTTTCAATTTTGAAAGGTGAAAAATGATTTTCGGACTAAAGTCTTACCATGCCGTCACACTACCCATGATGGCCCTGGGCCACCACCACCTTTACCACCCCACCATCACCTCCACTACCCCCTCCACCACCTCTACCACTCACCACTAGCACCATCACTAATACAACCATTATAGCACATTAGTGGTAGATCGCAACCAGACATAGGAAAACATTTTCTACAAACAAAAAAATTTGAAAATTGTTTTTCGTTGGAAAATATTTTCTGCTAAAACATGCAAAGTGTAGTAATTGTATGATATAGATCTGTCAAGCTGGACGCATCAATGCCTCATCTGTAAGAGGAGGTGAGTGTGGGGTTGATGCCACTAGGGTAAATGCAATTCTTTTGTGTTATAACACTTGTTCTACAACTTTTCTGGCATTTCAGGAACCCGAGGACAGTTGGTCCAGATGCAATGGCAGTTGAAGCAATGGAGAAGATGGAATCTCCTCCATCTCCGGTTCAGTTCTTGCCAGTCATCAATCATCAGAACATCTTAATTGGTATTGTTACACTGCATGGATTGGTGTCTGCTGGCTTGTGAACTTTGTAAGGTTGTCATGCGCTCTATTCTATCTTCTGTTTGTACAATAGTAATTCTTTGTAATGTTTTTTCCTCGACCCTGCCTTAGCGAGAGCCTCATGCACTAGGTCGCTCTGACTTCTCTTCTAATGAGGTGGTGTATCTGTACTTTAGATGATTAATTTTGTTGTTGCCAAGAATGTCAAGAGGTAATATTGTATTCTTTATTGTAAAATCTAGTGAGTTTCTTGAGCTTCCTATCTTATATTTTTCTTGAAAACTTGAATATTAGTTTTTATATTCATTGTATTTATTGTATTCTTTATTGTAAAATCCAGTGAGTTTCTTCAGCTTCCTATCTCATATTTTTCTTGAAAACTTGTGTATATATACTTTTTATATTCATTGTATTTGTTCTTTGCTTCTCAGTTCCTTGGTCCTATGACAAGCATAAGGAAGCACATGCTCACCAATGATATAAAATATGAAGGCTCTATATTGGGCTTTTTTTTTTATCTTCTCTGCTTTCCAATTTAGGTTGTATTAGGTTGTATTTAGTTGAAGAATTTAATGAGGGACATAGAGAAAAAGAAGAGAAATAAAAAGAAATGGAAAAAGAATTAATAAGATTCGAATTCTAAATTATATGTTTTGTTGAATTGGGAAAATGAAGAAAGAAAAGAATCTAAGTAAACTTAAAAGATAAAAAGTGAGATTGTATTTTTCTCTCACATTCTTTTCTCATGTATTTTCTGTTACAATCAAACAAAATGTGATTACATTTCTTTTTCTGTGTTCATTTCTCTCTTCGAATTCTCTAACCAAATGCAATCTCAAAAAGCATGAAGAGATCAATTCTGTTAATTGTGGATGGAGGTGTTTGTTGTGTAGATTTGCATAAGAGGTGAATAAATGGTGAATTTTGATTTTTCCTAATTGAGCATTGTCTACATTTATCCATTAACAATTGTTGGTTCTCATAGATAAAGAAAAATTATTCAATGTAGTGCGTGGTTATGTTACAAATGAATTTATCACCATTTATTTGTGGCATTGTTGCACATTCCATTGAATAATTTTGTTCCTAGTTGAGGGTTTTTGAAACCATAGTATTATCCATGAAAGTACTCTTTAAAATAAAATGTACTAACTAAATTTATTCTGAGTATAATGTACAAGATTATATTAAAATTTAAATCTGTCCCAGAAACTTTATTTCGAGATACCTTTCAGCTTTTCTTGCTTTTTGAAAAGCTACTACTTGTTGCTTTTTGAAAAGCTACTAAGCTTGGGCTTCACATAAAGAATATACACAAGACATGGTAATAATAATGTATCCGCATTAATTGGCATCACAGCCCAAGTAATGTTCTAAACACCCTCTAAGCACAAGAATCTTGTTTTTGGAGGTTAAATATAATAATTAAACTAACACTTTCCCTGATGGTTGGGAAATTTAGGAAGGGATTTGGAAATAGAAAGGAAAAGTTGTGTTTGGTTGAGAAATTTAGGAAGGGATTTGGAAATGGAAAGAAAAAGGGAAAAGACGTGTGAAATTACGTGAAATACAGATATATTTTATTTTTATTTCACTTACCTTTTCTCTTTCCAAATCCCTTCACAAATCCTCCAACCAAACACAGTGTAAGTTTAACAAGTGCTAATAATCCTCTCTCTCTCTCTCATTTTCTTTCTCATTTTTTGTGAGAAAGTAAATTTTACTGATTGTATGAAATTACAGTACGTAATACAAACACATTTTCCCTGATACCTTGTGTTTTAACAAGTGCTAAACATCTTTTCATGTACGGGTTTTTTTTTTTGGGTTGAAACAGCAGAGGCTTTTCCCAATATAAGCCTTTTTTACATTGTATTTCCAAAACTAGGTCAACTTCTGGCGGGATTTCAAAACTAAGCTAAAGCGTCATTACTATTCACGCTTTTACTGTTAGGAGGCCAAAAGTTGACCCTATACTTTAATCACAGCTTGTTGAATGCGTGTTTGATATTGTTTTCATTTTCTATTTTCTATTTATATTTTCATTTTGAAAAAAAACACAAAATTATTTGGCAAACTGTTCTTAAAAATTGTTTAAAATAATCCACTTCTTAACAAACACCCATAAATTGTTTTTTGAATTTTTGAAAAACTCTTTTTCACACACAAATTTGTTTTTGTTTCCACACACACACACACACACACACACACATATATATATATATATATATATTTGTTTTTAAAAATAAAACAACCATTGTCTCCATAAAGTTTTCATTTGTATGTAAAAACAGATTACAAAGATTAGAAAACAACCTTTTGATGTTTCTTTTAAAAAGGGGCTTTCAAGAAATTTACCCGAAAATAGATGTTGAAAATAGTTCACCAAGTAAGTTTGTTTGTGTTTTTCAGAAAATGATAACAGAAAATAGTAATCGAACACAAAGCCAAACAAATACTCAAAATAAATTAGAAACTTACCAAATCCAAGAAACTTCTGGAAATAACACTCCAGTCTAGATCCTCTGCCGCGTTTATCTGCTGTGCTTCCTGCATGGCTACCAAAACGACTTGGAATTGATAGAGGGAACCGTAGCCAAGTGGCATGAGTTTGCAAAACTTCTCTTCGGTGGTTCAAATCCAACCGACCGGGTTCCTACAGCGCCATTCCATCCATCCGGTTTTGAGGATCAGTAAAGAACATGGCCTTAAATTGCTCTCCTCATAGGTTAGGCGGTAAAGGATCAGTAAAGAACATGGCCTTAAATTGCATCTTGATCAAAGAGCCCAAGGGTATTGAGGCACTCTCCTCATCTGCTTTTTCTTCCTTTGATTGACTCTCAAACCACAAATGGGCTCAAAGGAAGACAAGCAAATCCACGGACTTGCTCGATTTAGTGTGCCTCGCCTATTCTATTAGCTGTAGTAGGAGGTTGACTATGTCCTCAAACATTGATTGCTAGACGGAATGTAGGATCAACTCCTTTATTATTATGAGAAGATAGTTTGAGAGAGGAACGAACTGAACCAAGACTCAGACCAATACAGTAGTTGAGATAGGAAAATTTGAGAGTGAGAACCTAGCTCGGCATGAAAATTTAACAGCCCATAGTTAAGAGGATACACACCTCTTATAGTCAATCAAATCGGTCAAGAGATAGGGATGTGCACCTTGTGGGTGAGTAAGCCCATCATCCATCCTAGCTCGAGAAGATAACCAGCGATATAGCAGCACGAGTCACGGGTTTCATCCCTATATCGCTGGTTATCTTCCTGAGCTAGGTGTGCATCCCTATCTCGACTGATTTGACTGACTATGAGAGGTGTGTATCCTCTTAACTATGGGTTGTTATGGAGGGATCCAGTCAAGTACCTGCATTCCGATTTCCAATCTCATGGATGAGCCTCCTCTACGGATGCAAAGAGCTCCCGCACCTTATTTTATGAATGGGCAATCCGAGAGGCCTCGTTACAAGCCCAAGGGCAGAGGGTGGGACATTAATCCAAAGCTCGAGTACGGTATGAAGCCCTTCCTCCATGAAAGGCTCGAGCAAAAGGTAGAAAGGCTAAGACAAAGCCGCTTCCTAAGTCAATCAGGTATGGCTTTAGTTAAGTAAAAATACCCCCTCTTCACCAGTAGCCTAGGTAGGCACGTGAGCTCTTTTAAGTGTTTAGTACCTCACTGGTGCTCTATATGAATCACTCACATATTCTTCTGAATTATTTGTATCCGCAGGATTAATATGGAAAACGAGTAGGACATGCAAGAACAAGCAATTTCTGTTGGAAACATTCTTCTAATGAATTCTTTGGAAACTTCTATAGTAAATGGAACAAGCCAAGGAAGAATTTTAAGTCCTATTTACTTGCCTGCAAGCCCTATGAAGAAAGGTGCTTTTTCTTCCTCTAGCATTTCTAGTGAACCCAAGAAAGCCAAGACTAGCTCATTCACCAGCATTTGGTTGGAGCAACAGTAGGGCAAACCCAGTCTCAGTCCTGCCTATGGTCTACAAAAAGGTTGAAGAGAAAGCGAATAGATGACGTGGGAGAGAGTAGCTTGCTATTACAACTAGTAGTCGTCTAGAAAAGGGGTTTGGAATTCGACCTCTCCTACTCTAAAAAGGAAAGTATGCTCGATTCTCTTATCATCGAAAAAACCAAATTCTCAAATTTTTCAACAAATGCAATACTTCGAGAAATAGGGATAGAGGAAGAAGAAAAAATCGAAGATTTCACATAATACTTTTGATCAAAAAAACAATCTGATTTATTTTGTACCTCTTGCTCAATGAGAAAATGAGTCAAAATCTACAAGATCAAACCTATGGGACTTGAGGAATGATATAAAAAAAGAGAGAAAAATATTAAATAAAAAAAATAGGTAAATAAAAATGAAGTAGAAGAGCCCAGATTTCAAATGAACAAATTCAAACTTGAAAAGGATCTTTCTGATTCTCGATGAATAAGGAGCAAAGGGATTGATCGAGATGCCCAAGGAAAGTCCTGCATTACAACAGATGCCTTTGAATGCGAATAAGATACAGCAACAGATAAATCAGATGAGGGATATGTTCCTAACCATTCAATAACTGATTCTTTGTCCTCGACAGATAATTGAAGGTAATCTGTCTGAACTTGAGGCTGATATCTTCCAGTTATGACGTCGTTTTGGTGGTTTTTATTATTTATTTCTTTCTTTCTTTCTTTCTCTCAAAGGTCTCAAACATTTGTTTGAGAAACCATAACAGAGAGGCAAAGAGGAGATAGGCGATTGGACGGCAAGGGAACGGCAGCGGCGCGGCGACGGAAGCGGCGACTCCAATCAAGAAAAGAGGGTTCTTCAACATGTCCAAAACATGTCTTCCAATTCACACTCCATGAAGAAACTAAGATGATTGTTTGGTCAACCAATTGAGAATCTAAGGTTTTGGAAGAGTCCAAACAAACCTTATCTATACCCAGATCTCAACCCAAAGATTAGCAAAGCAGAAACCAAATCCTAGTTCTCTCCTTTCTTGTTTTCCCCCAATTTAACAAATTAATCTATTTCAACTCTCTTACATACAACAATTCACTTCCAAAAGCCACAATTTCCCAGCTATTATACATTATTTCTCAGGGTTTTTCACAAACAACAATCTAAGCAAACAAGAATAGAAGAAACCCAGAAAACAAATCGGCCTAAATCAGTATGTGGAAACAAAACCAGGCCTTTCCTCTTCGACAGCAGCGACAAGGAGAGAGAGGAGGAGGAGGTTGAGGATCCATTACACTCTTGATGAAGTCGCCAATGTCGTCGCCTCGCCATCCACTGTCGCTCTCTGTTCCTAAGGTGCTTAGGGTTGTGGTTGTGGCCTCTCAAACTGAGAAAAGAAAAGAGGCGTAAAGGAAAAAAATTTATATATAAAAAAAAAAAGCCCTACCAAAACGATGTGGTTTTGGTAGCCCCACAGGAAGCATGGCAGACTAACCTGGCAGAGGATCCGGACTCAATAATACCCCCCCTACTCTGTCCAAAATTCTTTATCAATTCCCATCTCAATCAGAAAGATTGTAAGAATATAATTTCATATCTTAAAAATGTTAATGTGTTTGTGCACTTGAGGTAGAGCCATCCCTCGATACAAATACTAAAAATATCCAAGTGGCCAAGTGTTACAGCATTGTGGCCTTTACAGCTAACCCTTCTATAATCAATATTTTACAATTTAATAAACTCAATTAATTAATTAATATTTTTGAACCAACTTCATCCTATAGGGTATATAATAATAATAACAATTACAAAAGCCACCTGAGGTCCAGCAGTAGAATGTTCAAAGCACAATCATCCCATGACCCATCCATCCTTAACAGCCTCTTATCAAACTCATCTGCAACAGAACAAACTGTTTTTAGAAAACAAAAGGATTCCCATCTCTGACTCCATTAAGAGAACAAGTATGAACTCACAAGTAAACTTACAAAGGCCTTGACAAAGATTCAGCTAATTGTGACAAAAGATAGTTGCTCTTGGTTTCATGATTTGCTTTATATCCCTGACATGTCATGGACATTGTTGATTGTCGAATAACAGTTGAGACAATTTGAGGATCCAATGGCTTTAACTTGTAACTAATTGGGAATTCCCCTCCAAGATCATCAGCAAATCGTCCTGTTTGCAAATTCCACTACAATAACAAACAACTTTAAAGCCCATACACATCAAACACACAAAATACTCAGTAATTTGATCAATTTTTCATAGGAAACCACTCTCATTAGTAAGATCAAAGCAGGCGTAGCTATCTAATTTGTTGTTATTCAAAGGAAAAAGAAGAAAAAAAACAGATAGAGATCATGCATTCCAACAATCACAATTGTGAGAAAATAGAATTTGAACCCAATTTCTCCCATAAATATATCCAACATAATAGAAACTCACTCTGGCATTCCAACAGTCACAATTGTTGCTTCCCAAAGACATCGGAATTAGAAAAAGAAAACTCAAAAATAAAAAGGCACAAAACCTGATTTGGAAAATAGTTCTGATAATCTATCTATTCAAACATATACATGTAGAGATCATGCAGTTATTCTTTAAGCATACACACACACACATATATATATATGCATACAGATGATTTTCCCTGAATCTCCTTAGAGAATTATCTCGTTAGAAAGTGGCATATTGCCGAATACATATAACCTGCTTTACGATCTCACATTCAAGAATATTGACCAATTTGATGTTCAATCTACTTGAGAATATTAGCCATGAAAGATCTGATTCCTAATTGACTTTGTAAGTTTCTAAAAGAAAAATCTAATTAATAACTGCACACAACACAACATTGAAAGAACTTTTCACCAATTAATTTCTAAAGAATTGCCTACCGATGAAAATGAATAATACACTGACCGCCAATTTGTGAAAGAACTTTTCACAGATATTGTAGATCAAGGTTCTCAAACTCTGATTTTACCTAGATGACACAAGAAACTATATTTTGAAATTATTTAAGACCATAAGAACTGTGAATGAGCATGAAAATTCCAAATAGCTAAACAGGTTCCCCATAAAATTGAGGCCAATGCTTTCATTAAGTATCTTATTAGCTGTATGCTATGACGATAAAAGTCAACTTGTTAAGATGAGTTAGCCAATTAGGGCTCTCGATGCTCTTGATGATTTTGAATTAGAAACATCTATCAAACCACTGCATACATAAACCATTCTCCACGAGCAACATTCTAGAGGAGTACACATCCCATATGGAGCCTTACGGGCCTAAGTAGCATGGACACTTCTAGAAGGAGCAGTGTCTGTGTCTAACATGTGTCAGACACCAATACTTCTTCAAAGTGTCCTAGTTTAAGAATAAATGTTCATAATTTCACTTTTCAAATCCTCCTGGACAACACAACTTACAAAGTGTCCTTAGGAACACAACATGTGTCAGACACCAATACTTCTTCAAAGTGTCCTTATGGGCCTATGTGGTGGAACTTCTAATAGTAACAATGTTTGGCATTCTTAGGAACGCAACTTACACACCCCAAATATGTTTTGAAACATTTCTAAAATGAATTCAATCATGTGCATGACATGACCAACTTTAACATAGGAAAAAGATTTTAGAAACAAAAAAAATATTAAAAAGAAAGCATGCAATAGGATTATGCCTTATATACATGATATTTATAGAGCTCTATCTGAACAACTTGCAATAAAAATATATAGATAGTAAATTGGATTAAATATTTTTCTTACGTAAGATGCATAAATATATTAAAACTTGACATGACATGCGATGTTTTTTTTAAGATTTGCCCATGCCCTGTATTTGTGTCTATGCTACAATGCTGACAGCATTTGTGTTGAGATTTCTCTATCAAGTGATGGCTCACAATGGTTCTCTCATTTTTGTGGAATCCAAAGGGCCATCTCATAACCTTGTTCTAGAGGAAATGTACTTATTTTTTTAACTGAGGAAATGTACTTTAGAGAGTAGTACCTCAAAAGATTTAGACTAAAGCACCATTTTTTTTTACTGGGTCATATGCAGCCAATAGCAAACCTAAGAAAAAAAGAATGCAAATTACACACAAATAATTATTAAAAATTTGACAAAATTAGCTAACCATCTTCATGACGGCCTCTATCTACACTTTAACCAAGCAGACAGCTTGAAGTGAGTATTGATATTATGACCCTTAAACCTACATCCTATTCTACTCCCTTCTGTCATTAATGCGCATTTTGATATTTTTCTTTACTTCAAGTGTTGGGTTTTATTTATGCTACTGAGCTCCAGCTGATTGTCTCACAATTATCGTCGTCCTTCCACTAATTTTACTGCCCCAAGAAGAGAAGAAAAGAAAAAGTTTGAACATACAAAAGAAGAACGAAATATTGAAGAAAATAGGACTCAGTGGAAAAACAGCAACAAACAATGGACTGCATATTCTCCCTAAAGCAAGGTGCAGGATATAGTATCAACAAATATGGTAAAGTATAAACCACTCCCAAGAAATTTTTTTTTTTGATCATCAACAAAGAAAGAAAGAAAGATATATTAAGGCTCGGGGCCAAGAAAAATGAGGATAAGGCATCCTCTACAAGAAAGATGGAAAAATAGAACCAAAAAGAGACAAAAGAAAATACAAAAAGATAAACAACTAATACTACACAGTACAAACTGACACCCAATCGGTAGCAATCAAAAAAAGCGGAGTCCCTCAGAATACTGAGCTCGCTGAGGCCCAAAAAGACGCCAAGTATCTCACCCTATCCCATAAATAGTCTATGTCCCGGACAACTCCTTCGAAAACACGTGCATTTCTTTCCAACCAAATGACCCAGAAAATTGCAAAGACGACACCACTCCAAACCACTCCGAAGAAATAACCGAGGAAAAATATAAGAGAATTGAAACGGTTGAATATAATGTTCTTGTACAGGAAGTAACAATGGATATGGAGAACAAATCTAGTAGTTAGAATAAGGAGGTCCTCATAAGGAAGAAACACATGACAAAATGGAAAACATAAACTACTAAAATACCCATACTTTTTACCCCGAAGGGGTTGGCTTAGTAGGTGCAACTTGGGGCCTAAGGGTGTGCTCCCTCTAGATCTTAGGTCCAACTCCCACTAGTGTTATCAACTCCTTGAGGCCACACCCGTGGGCTCTGCCCGGGATTTACCTGATCCACGTGGAGTTTGCGTGGGTCTTGAGATTAGTTGAGGTGTGCTTAAGCTGACCCTGGCACCCGGTCATCAAAAAAAAATACCCATACTTTTTAAGCATCCCAGCTTTGGCTGTCTTTGGATACTTGAAAGTGCAGTTTTGAAGCTCTCAAGTAGTAAGAACCCAGATTCCAAATCCATTTAACAAACAGCAGAAAACATGATGTCCACAACTATCAATAGTAAGTTTTAGGACAGAAGACAAAAGCAACAAGGTTCACACTAAAAGCTATGCATCTACAGATAGGATAAAAACCACAACAGATGACTGAGCATCAAGATTCAAAAACAATTTTTGTCCAAACTCTAAAAACAAGTAGCCCTTGGTCACAGTGTGATTTTGCTCCTTAGCTATCTAACTTAGAAGGGTGATTGGACGGATATTGATCGTTTCAGAATCTAACAAGAATACAATATGTTTAATATCACTACATATATTTAAAAAAGAAAATAATGAAAATGATCATGCAAAATGTAAATACCAGAAGATACCATGCACATGGTCATACCATCTCAAACGGATTTCCTCATTTTATCTTCAATTAGTGTCACTTCTAAGTTCTAACTTCTTTTTAATGGGTTCATTTCTTATTTTTTCTTTTCTTGTAACACCACTCATCCTTTTCAACATTCTCATTTTCATTATACTTATTTTTTGAACATATTTTTTTCTTTACTGCCTAACATTGAGTACCATATATCATAGCAAAGTCTTATAGCTATCCTATAAAATTTTCCTCAAATTTATAGGAATCCTACGATCGTACAATACTCTTGATGAACTCCTCCAATTCATCCATCTCACTCTAATTTTATGGGAACATCTTTCTCACTCTCTCCGTCTTTGTGAATAATTGACCCAATATGTCAAAAACAGTCACTCTCAGGTATCTTTTATCCATCAAATTTTACATTCATACTTTTAGTTTTGCCAAAGTTACACTCCATATTCTATCTTACCCTTACTTAAGCTAAACTCTTTAGATTCTAAAGTGTCTCCACAATTCTACCTTACAGTTACTCATTTTCTTGTTTTGTCAACTAAAACAATATTCTCTCTTGGATAGTATCTCCATAACTTCTGAACTAATTTATTATTTTTGTCACTCTTGTGGAAAAAAATTGGACGGTCTCATTTTCTTTCATGGCTAGATTATCGAAATCACGCCATAAAGACTGAAGTTTAATAGAGATAACTTTTTTAGAACCATGTAATTCTTGTTTTAAGATTTCCCAAGCATCTCTATAATATTTTGCACCAATTATTCTAGGAAAAATAGATTTGCTTACCCCATGTTGTATGTTGAGTGATACCTTTCCACCTTTTTTCTTACTCTCTTTGTATTCCTTTTGTTTGCCTTGTGTCCATGATGCTAACAGGGAAAACTTCCCCCACTATCTCCCATAGATGTTGAGAAACAAAGAGGGACTTCATTTGAATAGTCCAATAACCATAATTTTTCCCATCAAATATGGGTATTTGATTTGAAGTATAGTTGAAGGTGGCGTTGTTTGAATTTGTTGCCATGGACAAGGTTTAGAGTAAAGAGTATGAACAAAAAAAGGGTTTGGCTCTGATACCAAAAATATGTTGGGTGCATAGTGTATATGTGAATTATAGTGGGACCAAAAATTCTAGAGAGAGAATTTGCAAGATCCAAAATATAGCGAGAATTTTGGAGAGAAAGAGCCGAGAGAGGGACTTAGATAAATAGAGTTGTCCTGTGCTTTGTATTGCTTTGCTCATTTCTCAAAGGAAGTAAACATGCCTTTATATAGGCTTAATGGCCACCCTTTGTAACCAATGGAAATAAGACACATCTTGGCTCATTCTCAGCCACACATACAAGTACATGTTAAAATTAAATAATTAATTTGTAATATAGGTTGCAAGTTGCCAACTTGCTGTTTCAGTTCATGAACATAGAGATGTAGGAGATATAGATAATCTACATGGCATCTTTCCATTGGTTGTAAGGGTGGCAGCTTGTCCTATAAATAAGCTCTTTGCATTTATAACGCCACCAACAAACAGAGCAAAGCAATACAAAGAAGCTCTCTCTCTCTCTCAAATTCTCTCTTTGGGTTTTTCAATTTCTCGCTCTAGAATTTTTGGTCCCACTAAAATTCACATATACACTTTGCATTTCAGCATTTTCATTTTCATTTTAATTATACTTAATTTTTGTATATATTTTTTTCTTAACATTGCATACCATAGATCGTAGCAAGTTTTATAAGTAATAGCTATCCTACAAAATTTTCCCATCAAATTTATAGGAATACTACGATCATACAATACTCTTGATGAACTCCTCTATTTCATCCATCTCACTCTAATTTTATGGGCACATCCTGTTAGAATTTACCTTCACCTACACCACTACCACCTCACCTACTCCACTAAACCTAACCCACTACACCACTACCACCTCACCTACTCCACTAAACCTAACCCACTACACCACTACCACCTCACCTACTCCACTAAACCTAACCCACTACACCACTACCACCTCACCTACTCCACTAAACCTAACCCACTACACCACTACCACCTCACCTACTCCACTAAACCTAACCCACTACACCACTACCACCTCACCTACTCCACTAAACCTAACCCACTACACCACTACCACCTCACCTACTCCACTAAACCTAACCCACTACACCACTACCACCTCACCTACTCCACTAAACCTAACCCACTACACCACTACCACCTCACCTACTCCACTAAACCTAACCCACTACACCACTACCACCTCACCTACTCCACTAAACCTAACCCACTACACCACTACCACCTCACCTACTCCACTAAACCTAACCCACTACACCACTACCACCTCACCTACTCCACTAAACCTAACCCACTACACCACTACCACCTCACCTACTCCACTAAACCTAACCCACTACACCACTACCACCTCACCTACTCCACTAAACCTAACCCACTACACCACTACCACCTCACCTACTCCACTAAACCTAACCCACTACACCACTACCACCTCACCTACTCCACTAAACCTAACCCACTACACCACTACCACCTCACCTACTCCACTAAACCTAACCCACTACACCACTACCACCTCACCTACTCCACTAAACCTAACCCACTACACCACTACCACCTCACCTACTCCACTAAACCTAACCCACTACACCACTACCACCTCACCTACTCCACTAAACCTAACCCACTACACCACTACCACCTCACCTACTCCACTAAACCTAACCCACTACACCACTACCACCTCACCTACTCCACTAAACCTAACCCACTACACCACTACCACCTCACCTACTCCACTAAACCTAACCCACTACACCACTACCACCTCACCTACTCCACTAAACCTAACCCACTACACCACTACCACCTCACCTACTCCACTAAACCTAACCCACTACACCACTACCACCTCACCTACTCCACTAAACCTAACCCACTACACCACTACCACCTCACCTACTCCACTAAACCTAACCCACTACACCACTACCACCTCACCTACTCCACTAAACCTAACCCACTACACCACTACCACCTCACCTACTCCACTAAACCTAACCCACTACACCACTACCACCTCACCTACTCCACTAAACCTAACCCACTACACCACTACCACCTCACCTACTCCACTAAACCTAACCCACTACACCACTACCACCTCACCTACTCCACTAAACCTAACCCACTACACCACTACCACCTCACCTACTCCACTAAACCTAACCCACTACACCACTACCACCTCACCTACTCCACTAAACCTAACCCACTACACCACTACCACCTCACCTACTCCACTAAACCTAACCCACTACACCACTACCACCTCACCTACTCCACTAAACCTAACCCACTACACCACTACCACCTCACCTACTCCACTAAACCTAACCCACTACACCACTACCACCTCACCTACTCCACTAAACCTAACCCACTACACCACTACCACCTCACCTACTCCACTAAACCTAACCCACTACACCACTACCACCTCACCTACTCCACTAAACCTAACCCACTACACCACTACCACCTCACCTACTCCACTAAACCTAACCCACTACACCACTACCACCTCACCTACTCCACTAAACCTAACCCACTACACCACTACCACCTCACCTACTCCACTAAACCTAACCCACTACACCACTACCACCTCACCTACTCCACTAAACCTAACCCACTACACCACTACCACCTCACCTACTCCACTAAACCTAACCCACTACACCACTACCACCTCACCTACTCCACTAAACCTAACCCACTACACCACTACCACCTCACCTACTCCACTAAACCTAACCCACTACACCACTACCACCTCACCTACTCCACTAAACCTAACCCACTACACCACTACCACCTCACCTACTCCACTAAACCTAACCCACTACACCACTACCACCTCACCTACTCCACTAAACCTAACCCACTACACCACTACCACCTCACCTACTCCACTAAACCTAACCCACTACACCACTACCACCTCACCTACTCCACTAAACCTAACCCACTACACCACTACCACCTCACCTACTCCACTAAACCTAACCCACTACACCACTACCACCTCACCTACTCCACTAAACCTAACCCACTACACCACTACCACCTCACCTACTCCACTAAACCTAACCCACTACACCACTACCACCTCACCTACTCCACTAAACCTAACCCACTACACCACTACCACCTCACCTACTCCACTAAACCTAACCCACTACACCACTACCACCTCACCTACTCCACTAAACCTAACCCACTACACCACTACCACCTCACCTACTCCACTAAACCTAACCCACTACACCACTACCACCTCACCTACTCCACTAAACCTAACCCACTACACCACTACCACCTCACCTACTCCACTAAACCTAACCCACTACACCACTACCACCTCACCTACTCCACTAAACCTAACCCACTACACCACTACCACCTCACCTACTCCACTAAACCTAACCCACTACACCACTACCACCTCACCTACTCCACTAAACCTAACCCACTACACCACTACCACCTCACCTACTCCACTAAACCTTCCCCCACTTAAACCTACTCCACTAAACCTAACCCACTACACCACTACCACCTCCACTTCACCTACACCACTACCACCTCCACTTCACCTACTACACCTATATCTCCTATATAAGGAGCCTCTCACATTTGTACTAATCAATCAATCAATATAAATCAATCAATAATACATAAATTCTTACACATCCTTCTCAATCTCTCCGTCTTTGTGAATAATTGACCCAATATTTCCAAAAAAGTCACTCTTAGGTATCTTTTATCCATCAAATTTTACAATCATATTTTTACTTTTGCCAAAGTTACACTCCGTATTCTATCTTAACCCTGCTTAAGCTAAACTCTTTAAATTCCAAAGTGCCTCTCCCTCCACAATCTATCTTATAGTTTAATCATTCTCTCGTTTTGTCAACTAAAACAATATTTTCTAACAAAGAACATACACCAAGACATATCATTTTGAATGTTCCTATTAAGTCCCATCTGTAACTAATGAAAAAAAGGAAATTTATTTATTAAAAAAAGAAAATACCCAATTAGTGCACATTAATGGGGGTGTTTGGGAACCTAACTTTAAGGCTAAAATAGCCTCAAAAACAAAAAAAAACCTGAAAGCCTCTAAACCAATGGTTTAAAAAAAAAGAAAAACAAAAAAATAGGCCGGCAGTGGGCTGTCACTGTGACAATGTAGGCACAGCCTACTACTGTCACAATGACAGGTTGGTAAATTACAATTTTGCCCCTTTAGATTAATTTTGAAAAATGTGAGGTTAGGGACAAAATTGTCATTTTAACTTCAAACATCATTTCAACACATTTTTCAATACACCAACTCAAATAAAAATCCATTCCATCTTCCCAAACATAAAAACTAAAATACCCTACTAAAATAGCCAAAAAGCCTCTAAAATAGCCATTTCCCAAACACCCACAATGTGTGTTTGAGAGGAGAAAGATTGGGTACACACCTAACCTTCGGCATAGTGCACAAACTGGTTGTCCCATGACTTGAACCCATAACCTCAAGGTTATTAGACCAAGGTTTTACCATTGAACCAATGGCCACTCCTAAAAAATAAAAATAAAAAAAGAAAATTTATTCACCCAAAAAAAAGAAAAAAAAGAAAAGGACTTAGTGTTGCTCTAAGATGTCAACTTATTAGTATTAGTCATGGCTCCATCTAGCATGTCTTTAATTACATTAATTTTGAATTGATACTATTTTTCTCTCTAAAACTCTCCACATTATCTCCCTAGAAACCCTATCATATATTTTTCCAAGTCAATAAACGCCATATGGAAGTCATTTTTTTTTTCCTAATAAAACAATAACATCCATGGTAGGAAACCAAATTGATTTTTTGACAAAGTCATCTCATATCATAATCTCTGCTCAACTACTATCTCCCAAAGTTTCATTGTATGACTAAAAAAGTACACCCAATTTAGAGCAATCGTTGTTCACCCTGTTAAGTGCCATATATAAGAACCATGAAATGTTTAATGACAAAATTTGAAGACCCAATTTGGGCCCTTATGCCTTTAAGAAGGGAGTTTTACAAGGACAATCATTTATGCCAATTATGTATGATCATATGCATGTAAGTAACACACACACGTGCAAAGAGTCAAACTCACCCAATACAAAAGTAATCGTTTCACATGCTAATCCACACTCCCTTGGAAAAAGGTATAACAGTTCACAAATCAGTATATGCATGACATAACCAAATAATGTTTCCTTGAAACTGAGAATGTTTAAATAAAAATCACAAATAAATGAATAAGAGCTGAATTGAACTAGTGAAGGACAAAAAACTACATTGACCACATAATGTACGCACACCTTAACATGGCTACCATGAACTGGGAGTTATCATCAGATAATTCCTGCAAAAACCATTTTACGATAACAAATTTTCAATCATTTTGGTACAAAATGCATTGTGAGATTTGACTGAGATTAGGCATGTTACCATTTTTGAGGAATAGCAATTGATGCTCCAGACAACTCTCTAGCAATTTCCTTAATGATCAATGATACTGTACAATAAAGAGAAAGGAAGAAGAAGAAGAAGAAGAAGAAGAAGATATGAAATGCAATCTTATAACTTTTTTAGTTGAACTTCATCCAGACAAAAAGTTCAAAGAATAAGTGGTATCACTGTTAGAATAATATCTTTAGTTATTGTGTATTGATTATTCTATTAGCTGTTATTTTCTTATTCTGTTATTTCCTTATTTGTACCTCCAAGGCTTCTATTGCAAGTTACCTATTATCAATATAAAGGGGGATGATTGTCCAATCATTTCCTAAGTTTTTCTCTCTAAAACAATCATGGTAATTCTTTAATTATGGGATGACTCATTCATTCCATGGTACCTGATATAGGGGAAGGATACTGTCTATGGATACTGCCCAAGATATTTGGGATGTTGTGGCCACTACCTATTTCCGAAAGGAGAATTTCTCACAGACTTTTGAGTTGCGACATTCTATTGAGCGCTCAGTACAGGGGGAGATGACTATCCTTCAATACTTCACTTTTCTTAACTATGACTGGAAACGTCTTGATCATCTATAGGATTATAAGTCTGTTTGCACAACTGATTTAGTGGGTTACCGGAAGTTTATTGAACAAGAACAGGTCTTCAAATTTTTGAAAGGTCTCAACTTAGAGTTGATCCTGTTTGAAGTCATGTCCCTGGTATGGATGTTCTTCCCTTCCTTCAGGAGGCCTTTGCTTATGTACAGAACGAAGAAAGCTATCGTTTTTCTATGTTGCCACCTACCTCTACAGCACGCTCAGACTTACTTTTTGCTCCTCCTATAGATAGTACTAGTCTGCCTCATACTTCCTCTAGTCCTTCAAAGAAGGATACACTGTTCTGTGATTATTGTCGCCAGCCGAGACATACCCATGAGACTTGTTAGAAGCTTCATAGGGTTCCTTATGGTGGTCGTGGTGACTGTTCTGGTAGTCGTAGGGGTCGCTCTAGACAATTTTGAGGACACGAGTTTAAACCACGTGCACATCATACCAGTGCAATGGATACTCCCAACACCTTTTCAGTTGCTCCTCCTGATGGTGATATATCTAGAATGTCTTTTTCTGAGTTAGGATGCTTTGTGACACCTATTGGATCGTTGCTCTTCTATTACTCCATCTGGTACATCCTCCTCGTCTTTTGCCCACTCAGATAACTTAGCCGCTTCTCCAAGTATTTTTTTATCTCATAAGTCTTTACCTTGGATTATTGATTTAGGTGTCTCGGATCATATGTCTGGGTCTACTGATTTGTTCTTGGAATATAAGCCTTCTTCAGGTCAAGACAGAGTTATGATCGTTGATGGTACTGTTTCTTCTGTTTTTGGGAAAGATTTAACCCATGCCACTCCTTCTCTACCATTATCTTCTGTTTTGCACGTTCTCAATTTCTCTGTTAACCTTTTATCATTTAGTCGTCTTACTCATGACCTGAATTGTAGTGTGTTTTTCTTTCCTGATCATGGTCTGTTCCAGGACCTTATCACGAGGAAGACGATTGGTAGTGGTAAAGTAAAACATGGTCTCTATATCCTGGATCAGGCAGACAAGTTGGCACTTCATTCCATCAAATTTCCTACCACCAAGGAAGATCTGCGACTGTGGCATCAGCGTCTTGGGCACCTATCATTTCTATTACTTAAGCATTTATTTCTTTATGTTTTTACAAACAATAATGTTTCTGAGTTTCATTGTGAGTCTTGTCAACTTGGAAAACAACACAGAACTTCTTTTGCTCCAAGCTTTAATAGAAGTTTAGTACCTTTTTCCTTGATTCACTGACATTTGGGGCTCATCCCATGTTATATCTTTAAAAGGTCATAGATGGTTTGTTATTTTATCGATAATTTTTCTCGTACTACTTTGGTGTATCATATGAAAGACAAAAGTGAGGTCTTTTCTGTGTTTGGTAATTTCCATAAAATGATATGTACTCAATTTGGGGCGATTGTCAAAATATTGCGTTCTGATAATGGGGGTGAATATATTGATTTTGGTTTAGCAAGCTATTTTTTCACCTATGGCATTATTCATCAGACTTCTTGCACCAACACTCCTCAACAAAATGGGATTGCGGAAAACAAGAATCGTCATCTTCTTGATATAGCTCGTTGCATGTCTTTTTTTATGCATGTGCCTCAGCCTTATTGGGGGAACCCAGTTCTCACTGCTGCCTACCTCATCAACCATCTCCCAACCCAAGTGTTGCACAAAAAATATCCTCTCCAAGTTTTCTCAAGTTTTAAGTCTGTGTTCTCTATTCCCTCCAAAGTCTTTGGGTGTGTCTGTTTTGTCCACAATCATACTTCTTCTCGTCAAGAATTTGATCCCCGCTCTCTAAAGTGTCTTTCCGGGTTACTCTCCTACTCAAAAGGGTTATAAGTATTATTATCCTCCATCTCGTAAGTGGTTTGTCTCCATGAATGTAACATTCTTTGAGTCAGAGTCTTATTTCTTGTCACAGTCCTCCTCGAGGTCCCAGTTCTCCCTTCAGGGAGAGCCTTGGTGTGAAGGGATTCCTAGATCTGTATCAATTCCTGGCTCATCACTAGTGGTTGCAAACACAGAAGGTGAACTAATTACTAGTGGTGAAAATACATAATCTAATGAATTGAAGGAGGGAAAAGTCTATGTCAGAGGGACAAAGACAGACAGAAAGTTACTTAGATACAAGAGACCACTTTTGTTCATCCACTACTATCTTCTTCTTCTGATGAGAGTCCAGGTAACTCTGAAGTCCTTATCCTCCTGAGTATACTGATCTTGATATTCCTATTGCCCAACGAAAGGGTGTGAGGTCTTGTACTTAACATCCCATTTCTAATTTTGTGTCCTACTCTAATTTGTCTCCTTATATAGAGCCTTTGCGTCCAAAATTTCTTCTATTAGTATACCTAATCATTTTCAGGATGCTCTTGCTACCTCTAAGTGGAAACATGCCATGATAGAAAAATGAAAGCACTCCGTAAGAGTGGCTTGGAGATTAACTGAGTTACCTAAGGGCAAAAGACTTGTGGGATGCAAATGAGTGTATACTGTGAAACATAAAGTAAATGGTTCAATTGAGTGTTACAAGGCTCGACTAGTGGCAAAGGGCTTTACGCAAACCTATGGAGTAGACTACAAGAAACCTTTGTACCAGTGGCTAAGATGAATTCAGTCAGAATACTTCTCTCTCTTGCAGCTAATCTAGATTAGCCACTTCATTAGTTTGATGTAAAAAATGCTTTCTTACATGGTAATCTAGAAGAAGTGGTGTTTATGGACATCCCTCATGGCTTTGAGGACCATCAGGCAAAGAGTAAAGTATGCAGACTTCAAAAGTCATTATATGATCTCAAACAGTCTCCGAGGATTTGGTTTAAGAGATTCACCCAAGCTATGCTCAAATATTGCTTCAAACAAAGTCAGGCTAATCACACTTTGTTTACGAAGCATTCCTTACATGGTAAGACTACAATTCTCATTGTTTATGTGGATGACATAGTACTTGCAGGAGATGATAGTGAGGAAATACCCCGGTTACAGAAATATTTGGCAAACGAGTTCGAAATAGGTATTGAAGTTGCCCGGTCCAAGGATGGAATTTTCATCTGTCAAAGGAAATATGTTCTTGACCTATTGAAAGAAATCGGAATGTTTGGGAGTAAAACTTGTGATACACCACTGGAGCCAAACCAGAAGCTTAGTGATGATAGTAGGGGAGCTATTGTTGACAAGATGAGTTATTAAAGACTAGTAGGTAAGCTCATTTACTTATTTCATTCTCGTCCTAAGATTGCCATGGCAGTTAGTGTGGTTAGCCACTTCATGCATGCTCCTCATGAGACACACTTGGCTGCAATAATGCGCATCCTTAGGCACTTGAAATCTTCTCAAGAAAAGGGTCTGTATTTCTCCAAACATGATCATCTTCGGGTGGAAGCTTATACAGATGCAGATTAGGCAGGATCAGTAACTGATAGAAAGGCCACATCTGGTTATTGTACCTTTGTTGGAGGTAATTTGGTTACTTAAAGGAGCAAGAAACAGAGTGTCGTCACCCGATCTAGTAAAGAGGCCAAGTTTAGAGCCATGACACAAGGTGTATATAAACTCTTGTGGATCAAGTTGCTACTAAGTGATCTGGGGAATAGTCATACTGACTCCATGCAACTTTACTGTGATAATAAGGCTGCTATTAACATAGTTCACAATCCAGTTCAGCATGAGCGAACAAAACATGTGGAGATTGATCGACACTTCATTAAGGAGAAACTCACCAGTAACACTATATGTATTCCTTTTGTGAAGTCAGCTGAAAAACTGACAGACATTCTCACCAAGGGAATTGAAAGCAAATCATTCCATGATGTGCTTGACAAACTGGATATGAGAGACATCTTCGCCCTAACTTGAAGGGGAGTGTCAGAATAATATCTTGTTAGAATAATAATCTTTGGTTATTCTGTATTGATTATTATATTAACTGTTATTTCATTAGCTGTTATTTCCTTATTATGTTATTTCCTTATTTGTGCCTCCAAAGCTTCCATTGTAAGTTACCTATTATCAATATAAAAGGGGATGATTGTCTAATCATTCCCTAAGTTTTTCTCTCTAAAACAATCAATCACAAGTGTGCATACTAGAGCAACTAGTTTGGTTTGTGCCCAATAACAAACAACCCAAGTAATGTTCATTAAAGCAGTTAGCAATTTCATGACATATACATGCAACCTGGGACAATGGTAAAATCTTGGCCTAATAACCTTAACAGACAACCCAAGTAATGTTCATTAAAGTAGTTGGCAATTTCATGACATATACATGCAACCTAGGACAATGGTAAAATCTTGGCTTAATAACCTTGAGGTTATGGGTTCAAATCTCGGGACAACCACTTTGTATACTATGCCAAAGGTTAGGTGTGTACCCAATCTTTCTCCTCCCAAACACACATTAATATGTACTAATTGGGCATTGTTTTTTATACATGCAACCTAGGAAGAAACCCAAGACACTATCACGAGCACAGCACATTGGATACCTATGGAGTCTTAAGAGAGCTTGAATACACATGGGAGAAGTGTTGAAGAAGCTTCACTGACATGAAGAAAGCCCTCGACAAGGCATGAATCAAGTAGAGAGACTAAGCAAAGGTTCAAAAAACCTTAATTTACCCTGACTCCTAGAGATCTATGTTACATGGACTCTTCTAAATATATAAAGTACCTATGTTGGACACTTGACACTTAAATAAGGGTATGGAACATATGTCCAACACATGTGGTTGGACATTCACCTAGCAAACATTTTAATAATTCAAGTTCACTATAAAAAATAAGAATTATGAATATTTTGTCGTGTCCCCATGCCCTTGAATATGGTAATTAAATGAACAAGACCCGTACCCAAGTCCATGTATCTAGCAAAAGAACAAACAACAGTTTGGTAGATCATGTTAGTAGTGTGGTTGATTAACTTGGTCATCATGGTTGATCACAGTGTCAGAATGGTCGATCATCTTAGTGTTCTTTACTTGCACTTTATTTTATATAATTTGATTCATTTTAATGCATGAGATGACAGCATGAATATGTTAATATGTTACTTCGAACATGGATCGTTTAGGCATGTGACACGGGAACGGGAACTTAAAAGCCACATGCTCTAAATTGTGGTACAATAGGAGTAGACTTGTGTAGTTTACACCTTTAAGAATTTAAAGTACTTCTAGTCTAGATTAAAAAATAAATAACAATTAGACATCCAATAAATTTTTTTCTTTCTCCCAATTAATCATATAGCAACACATTTCTATGAGTATTATAACTCATTTTTTTATGTTTTGCGAAGTTAAAACTTCACTCACCTTCGAATTTAGTTCATTATATTTGGTTTTTTTAACTCCTAAGGAAACCTTAAGAAATATATTGGAAAAAAAACCCTTTTGGAATGCTTTAGATCGCTAAATTTACCGTTTTGGAGCAGAAATGTACCATGTTTTGTAATGTGCATACGAAAATGTAATAATTTGCTAGGGTATTAGCATTTTCTGGTAACACTAGTTAATCCTTATTGAAAATAGAACATGTCTAATTCCGATTAACATGTGTTTTGTAACACTTAAAAGATTAGCATTGAAAGAGGAAATTAAGACATCATTGTCGTTGAAGGATTGGTTTTGAAACATAGTAGTTATACAATACCTAGTAGGGTTGAAATCAGTGTGGTTCGGCCGGGTTTTTTTTCAATTTTTGGGCCAAATCAGTTCACTCGGTTTTGTACCTATGAGAACCAAACAGACCGAGATAAATATATAAACTGCAAAACCGGTTCATACAGTTTGGTGAGGTTGTTACGATTTTGGGCCTTTTGCAAATTTAAAAAAAGTTTGAAAAAAGGCCCCCAATGTGCTAAATGCAATGTAGCTATTTGTGATGGAAGCTATTTATGTTGTACACGGCATCCATCCAATTCAAGAAAGGAAAAAAAAAACAGACATACAACAGTAAACAATAAACTGAAACATTAATTCAATCCAATGGTTGCTTTGCTTCAACAGTTCAGAATTTAGCAAAATCAAAAGGGTTTTTAAAAAGGTTCAAGAGATTAGGGTTTCTAAAAAGTTCAAAAGATTAGGGTTTTCAAAATAAAAAATTAGGACTTCAAAGTTACCTTAGCTCTGAGTTGAAATTGCTACACCAACAAGAAGATCTTTGCAATGAGAGTGAGTCTCTGTGAGAGGGAGTGTTCTTCTACTGCGTCCTTGCTTCAGATGAGTAACAGTGAGGAGTGCGACAGGATTGTCATGGATGAGAGGGTTGATGAATGAGAAATCCAGTGGTGATGAATGAGAAACCCTAAGGCTGTGAGAAGTTGAAGACGGAGAGAGAGAGAGAGAGACTGAAGCGGTGAGAAAAGTGACTGTTTGTTTACCGGGTGTCTATGAGAAAAAAATAGGGGTTTTTTTTTTATTATTAAAGTGAGTGAGGCACATGAATGGCTGTGATTGTGCCACACGGACGGCTAAGGTGAGGAGGGTTATTTGGTGCAGTTCAGCCCCGCATTTTGAAAAACCAAAACCGAAAGCAAGAACTGAGAAATTAAAAAACAAGGCCAACAGACCGAAACTGGACAGGAAAAGCAGACTGAAAACCGGTCAATTCGGCCGGTTGGTTTGGTTTCTGCGGTTAATCTTTCACCCCTAATATTAAGTGATCAATTACAGGGAACCATTGATTCAGTGGTTAAAACTCGGCCTACAAACCTTGGGGTTGTGTGTTCAAACCCGAGTGCAGCAACTTATTGCAAATTACGCCAAAGATTACGTTTGTACCCAATCTACCCATCCAAACTCCCCATCCAATGGGAACAAAATTGGACGTACATTTTAAATACTTAGTGACCAATTCATTAAATGTTCAGAGACCTACTATAACATAATTCTTTACAACTGCACGTACAGAAATAATTTTTTCAATTACAAATCAGAAGCTGAGCGATAAAACATACCACCGACATCATGTCATGATATTCTTTCAACAAGTCATCAAGAACAAGCTCCAACACCTAAAAGCACCAAAAAGCAAATGAGAAATAAGCAACAAAATAAGTCATTGAAGTAACAACTTAAACACAAATAAGAAATCCCACATTAAGTTTTAAAATCCCGAAACAGATTAGTCAAGATATTGCATGATATACCGCAATTTTTCCGGAACAATAGGGTTCAAGAAGCTGGACTTGAGTTGTTACCAACCTCAGTGATTGATTGAACACTAAAGCATAAAATTTAACTTGCAGAAAATTAAAAAGACAAACTCATTATGGAAATTTTCACAAGAAGTCAATTTATCACTTCTACTACAATTATTACTGCCATTTTTTCTTATTATATTTATCATTATCATCCTGTCATTGTGGGTTCTGTCCTCATCAGCTTCAGATGCTACAAATTGATGGTTTTACGGTTCTATTGAAGACGAGAGGAAGTTTGGGAAGCAAGACAAAGTTCCAAAATAGAGAAAGAAGTATGGATTACAATGTTAAAAAATGAAAAAGAAAACTAAGAAAAAGTTAAAAAAGCCAAAACCAAAAAGAACAAAAAGTAAAAAAACAATAATTGGAGTTTCATCGTATTTTTAAAAGGACAAATTTCACTTTACCCTGTGGTTTTACTCCATGTGCGGTACACCCCCTAACATTAATAAATAAGCACATAACCCCTTATGGTTTGTTGACTAAAGTGTACTATCAAACATTTGGTCAACACACACCTGGAACATAAATGGCTCCATTAAAACACATTTTCTGCCCAAAAAGATGACAAAAATGTCCTTAATTTGCACAATGTTAAGTTACTTATATATACAATGGTATTTTAGTCTTTTCGCCTAAGTCATCAACAGTATAGGCAGTACACTTTAGTCCACAAACCATAGAGGATTATGTGATTTCTAAATATCAAGGGGGTGAACTGCACATAGAGTAAACCACACGAGGGTAAAATGAATTTTGCCCATTTTAAAACACAGTTGATACATAAAAAGAAGGTTCTTCTTTCCTTTTTTAGGCCACTGCTTAGGGGACAAGTGCTAAAATACAAAAGGCACATTGCGCTTAAAATATCACAACATAGTTCATTTGTTAAGGCATTGCACAGTGTACACCAAGCTGCTAAGGAATCACTGATCTTAATGGAATTATCTGTTACAATTATACATCAAGAACCACCTTCCCCAATCCCAGTACCCACCCCTACTCCCCAAATAAATAAATAAAATAAGGATAATAATGAAAAAGAAAACAAAGAAATGAAATATAACAATATAATCCTGTTACCAATTTATTTGGATCAACTTGTACAGTCACAAATTCATCTGCACACCGGTCTTTGAATCTTTACAATATATGGTTCATATAAACGATCAAAGGTCCAATCCAAGGCTGCTTTCCCCTTTTACTTGGATTTGGCATTCAGTGATTCAAAATGAGGTACGTATTGGCTTATTGACCTTCTGAGTTGCCAAAATTCATAAATTCACAGCTCAATCCAATATATGGCTCATATATACAATAAAAAATCCAATCCAAGGCTGCTTTCCCCTTTTACTTGGATTCGGCATGCAGTGATTCAAAAACGAGGTATGTATTGGCTTATTGACCTTCTGAGTTGCCAAAATTCATAAATTTGCAGCTCAATCCTATAAAAAGGAGAAGAGGAAGTCCAACAAAACCCAAAACGTATTCAGTCAAAGAAAACAAAAAGGTGTTAAGTACAAGTTAAATATTTGCAGCTTCCTAACAGTTAAATCTTACCAGAAAAGTCATCCAAGGGAATGTTCCCAGCAGTGTCCAGAGTAAGAATGCTAGGATGAGACAAATTTCTCAAAGAGTAAATATGTCACTACCTTACCAATCTCTGACATGACCAGAATACTGTCATAGGTCTTATTAAGTCTTTGTTCCAGCATTTTCTTCACTATCTATTAATATATATTCAAGGTACTGAACTGCATGCCATTTATAGTCTTTGCCTAGTTGCTTAAACAATGCACCGTGTGTACAAAAATCAGGCTGAATCCCTTTATCTAGCATTTCCTTATACAATCTCAAGGCCTCGTGCCAGTTACCCAAGTTACAGTTCTCATTTATTAATATAGTGTAGGTATATTTATTAGGGGGTATTCCCTTTGCTTCCATCTCATCAACATATCTGTAAGCCTGATCCATTCTTCTCAATTTGCAAAGACCATTTATCAGCACATTATAGGTGATCACATTTGGCATAACACCCTTCTCTTTCATCTCATAGAAATACATAAATGCCAGTTCTAGCATCCCTTTGCCAACATGAGCATGAATCAACAGTGTGTACGTAACAACTGTAGGGGATAAGCCTTTACTCAACATCTCATAGAATAATTCCCTGGCCTTCTTGAGATGCCCAATTTCCAAAACGGTGTGAATAATGCTGGTATATGTTACATGATCAGGCATGAGACCATCCCGAACCATCTTTTGCAACAACCCACATGCTTCTTCCAAATTGCCCACTTTACACAATCCATCCACGATAACATTATAGGTAATCAAGTCAGGTGGAAACCCTTTTGCTAACATTTCTTCCTGCAGTCTAAATGCTTTGGATGTATCCCCAAGCTTCAGTTCCCCTGCTATTCGAGTTGTATATGCAAAGTGGTCCGGCTCCAATCCTTTATGCAACATTTCATCAAAGAATTCGTTAGCCATTTGTAAATTTCCCACCTTGACAGAACCATTTACTAGAATGGTATAAGTAAAAACATCAGGAAGAATCCCATGATTGATCATTTCTTCTTTAAGCCGCTTAGCATCCTCCAGCTCTCCCAATCTGCAAAGGCCATCTACAATAGTATTATAGGTGACAACAGTGGGATTGAGGTTTGCACCTTCTAATTCATATAACAATAGAAAAGCCTCCGTAACGTCCCCTAGCCGACAGTAACCATATATCAAAGTGTTGTATGAAACTATATCAGGCGTCAAATTCTTTCCCAACATATCACAGAACTTTTGTCTAGCATCAGTCACTTTTCCCCACTTACAGAGACCATACATTAATGTATTATAAGTCGAGACAGTAAAAGAAACTCCTCGAACTACCATCTCTTCCCCAAGCGCCAATGCTTCAACAAGCATTCCTTTTGTACAATACCCAGAAATCAAAGGGTTATAAGTGTAAGCTGAAACCTTTAACCCCAAGTTCAGCATCTCCACAATCAACCCCTTGGCCTGGTCAAATTCCCCTTTCTTTGACAACCCATTGATCAACACATTATATGTAACATCATTCGGGGTACAGCCTCTTCTCTGCATTTCCAATAATAGGTCTAGTGCTTGTTGCACTTCACCATCTTTACAAAACGAATCCAACAATGTATTATAGGTAAGGATGCTTGGCTTAATCCCAAACATGCCCATCAATTGGTACACTTCCCTTGTTTTGCCAACTAAATCCTTATCCCTAAGCATCCTAAGAATTCTATTGCAGTTTTTCACATCTGGCAAGAACCCATTCCTCACCATCTTATCAAAAATCAACAAGCATTGCTCGACCATCGACTCCTTAGTATACAACCACAATAAAAGATCAAGTAACTTAATCGAAACCTCCGCATTCACATACCCATCAATCAAAACATCCACAATCCCATGCAAATCCACACTAATAACCCTCTCCATCACCGAATAAGCCGAACCCATCAAATTATTCTGAACAAGTATTTCAAGAATTGTACAAAAAATGAATTCTGACCGCTTAAACCCTGGTTGCCCCTCGGCCCACCGGAACAACCGAAGCGCCACTCTGGGGCGCCCGCGAACCGAATTGAGTACCCGTATAAACAACTCAGGATCAAGAATCACAGTTCGTAATTGTTCAGAGACAACCCAGTACTTACTGGCAAAAGCCCAGGGCTTGTCTTCGATTGTTTTCAAAATTAGGTTCCCAAAATGGGTCTCTGAGAATGTTTTTGAAATCGTAGTAGTAGTGGAGTTATTGTTGTTATTGTTGTTGTAGTCGGAGAAATCGGAGGGACAAGGGGAAGAGAAGATGAGGCGTACCTTGAGAGAGTCCAAGTTTCTTCTACTGCTACATTGGGCTATGGATTTTGAAGCTCTCACACAGAGAGTCATTGATCTGTGATGAGAGATGACAAGTAACACATACACATGTGCTACTACTGTATATATGTTGGCATAAAAATAGAGGTTTTGGCAGACAATAGAGATGGGTTTTGGGGTTTTGAGATATAAGAGATCAAATAAAGGAATTAGCTTTCCTTCAACATTGTTGGTCACTTGTGGAACACATACAAGCGACTGTGACTGACTGGTCTTTCAATTAGGGTTTTCTTTCTTTTGTAACCATAACAACAGAGATTCATTTGGCCAAGAAAATGTTTAAGATTATTTATACTGACCTCCTCAAATTTAGAAAAAGTTCAAGAAAAAACTAATGAGTTAGTTTAATTATTAATTACATTGAATTCTTGTTTTAGTTTGGATTCATTTGAGAATTTATTTTTGGGAAAATTAGTATTCTCATTTTTAATAAAATAAGAAATTCACAATATTATTTTATGATGTCTAGGTCTCCTAACTCCACACTAGGAAATCTTCATCGTTTTTTTTAGAGAGAGAAAGAGACATATTTGCAAGCAACGAACATAGAGAAAAAGAGAGATCGACGATAATGCTGGATCAGATGAAGATTAGATGAAGGCCAGAGCTTCGTCGCTAGCACCGTAATCGCGAAATCCTCTCGATTATGCATGAGAGTTTAGGATCGGAGGAGGCAGTCCGCCGCCGACCGTCATCATCACCAGGTCCGCCATTGAACTTGGTGGTCCAACTCAACAAAACATCATGAAAGAATTTCATTTTCGTATTTGTGTTTATATTGAGTATGATATATTTAGATTTGAAAAGTCAACTACCAATTTCATTTGTTATCTTCCTCGGTTGTTTTGCTTCCATATTTTCCATTTTACTGCCCACTGAGTTTTACCCATTCAATTTCTCTCCCAAAAAACCTCAGTCAATCGTCCAAATCTCGCATTCATTTCGCCATTTCAACTAGGTAGTTCTTGTTTTTGCATATTAAGTTACTGCCTACCAAGTATTCAATCATTTTCCTCTTTACAAACAGAGCTATCTCAGATTTTGATCACCATCAAATCAAAATCCAGGTTTTTGTCAAATTTTGATATTGTTTTATTTTTTATGTATTTGAAGGAGTAATCAGTAATCTTTTGATGGGAATTTCTCTGGGTAAGAGAGGGGGATTTTCTCTAAGATTGAGTGAATTTCTCTGGGTTTGAGGGGGATTTTCTCTGGGTTTAAGTGAACTTCTCTGGGTTGGATAAGAGGAATTTCTCTAGTTTGAGTGAATTTTTATGGATTGGAGGGGAATTTTCTCTGGGTTCGAGTGAATTTCTCTAAATTGGAAGAGGATTTTCTTTGGCTTTAAGTGAACTTCTCTGGGTTGAAGAGGGGAATATCTCTGGTTTTGACAAAATTTCATTGGGTTTAAGTGAATTTCTCGGGAAAGTCCTTTGGTGAGATTTTCTCTATGAAGTCGAATTTTCTCTAGATTAATTTGAGAGACTTTAGACATTATGAAAATATTTGATGTCCTCTATGCTATCAAATCTTAATAGTAGGGACCTTAAAAAAAATCCCCTTTGTTTTTTAGTAATTTTTTTTAAAATTTTATATAAAAAATGGATAAAAAAATAAAAATAATGGATTTACTTTTTATATTAATTTTTTTTTGATATTTTGACTAATTTAACTTATTCCTAAACAAGGCCTAATGCTAGAAACAAGCCAAGTTATTTGTATATATGTTGGCATAAAAATAGAGGTTTTGGCAGACAATAGAGATGGGTTTTGGGGTTTTGAGATATAAGAGATCAAATAAAGGAATTAGCTTTCCTTCAACATTGTTGGTCACTTGTGGAACACATACAAGCGACTGTGACTGACTGGTCTTTCAATTAGGGTTTTCTTTCTTTTGTAACCATAACAACAGAGATTCATTTGGCCAAGAAAATGTTTAAGATTATTTATACTGACCTCCTCAAATTTAGAAAAAGTTCAAGAAAAAACTAATGAGTTAGTTTAATTATTAATTACATTGAATTCTTGTTTTAGTTAGGATTCATTTGAGAATTTATTTTTGGGAAAATTAGTATTTCCATTTTTAATAAAAGAAGAGATTCACAATATTTATTTTATGATGTGTAGGTCTCCTAACTCCACACTAGGAAATCTTCATCGTTTTTTCTAGAGAGAGAAAGAGACATATTTGCAAGCAACGAACATAGAGAAAAAGAGAGATCGACGGTAATGCTGGATCAAATGAAGATTAGATGAAGGCTGGAGCTTCGTCGCTGGCACCGTAATCGCGAAATCCTCTCGATTATGCATGAGAGTTTAGGATCGGAGGAGGCAGTCTGCCGCCGACCGTCGTCATCACCAAGTCCGCCATTGAAGAGATCGTCACTGGAGAGAACTTGGTGGTCCAACTCAACAAAACACCATGAAAGAATTTCATTTTCATACCTGTGTTTATATTGAGTATGATATATTTAGATTTGAAAAGTCAACAGCCAATTTCATTCATTATCTTCCTCGGTTGTTTTGCTTCCATATTTTCTATTTTACTGTCCACTGAGTTTTACCCATTCAATTTCTCTCGCAAAAAACCTCAGTCAATCGTCCAAATCTCCCATTCATTTTGCCATTTCAACTAGGTAGTTCTTGCTTTTGCATATTAAGTTACTGCCCACCAGGTATTCGATCATTTTCCTCTTTACAAACAGAGCTACCTCAGATTTTGATCACCATCAAATCAAAATCTAGGTTTTTGTCAAATTTTGATATTGTTTTCTTTTTATGTATTTGAAGGATTAATCAGTAATCTTTTGATGGGAATTTCTCTGGGTAGGAGAGGGGGATTTTCTCTAAGATTGAGTGAATTTCTCTAAGTTGGAAGGGGATTTTCTCTGAGTTTAAGTGAACTTCTCTGGGTTGGATAAGAAGAATTTCTCTAGTTTGAGTGAATTTCTATGGATTGGAGGGGGATTTTCTCTGAGTTCGAGTGAATTTCTTTAGATTGGAAGAGGATTTTCTTTGGCTTTAAGTGAACTTCTCTAGAATGAAGAGGGGAATATCTCTGGTTTTGACAAAATTTCACTGGGTTTAAGTGAATTTCTCGGGAAAGTCCTTTGGTGAGATTTTCTCTATAAAGTCGAATTTTCTCTAGATTAATTTAAGGGACCTTAGACATTATGAAAATATTTGTTGTCCTTTATGCTATCAAATCTTAATAGTAGGGACCTTAAAAAAAATCCCCTTTATTTTTTAGTAATTTTTTTAAAATTTTATATAAAAAAATGGATAAAAAAATAAAAATAATAGATTTACTTTTTATATTAATTTTTTTTTGATATTTTGACTAATTTAACTTATTCCCAAACAAGGCCTAATGCTAGAAACAAGCCAAGTTATTTATGATCTGAACTCATCTAATTTGAGCTCAACTCGTTTGTTAGATAAACGTACTTAAATTTAATTTTTAGACTCATTTAGTAATTAAGTCAAGCTTAGGTAAATTTAAATTCAGCTTGATAAAATTTATGAACAGGGTAATATAAATTCATGTTTATTTTTAATGAGATATAAAATATATTTTTATTATTTTATTTATTCATATTTAGTATTTTCATAAATTTACATATTTTTTTTGATAAAATTTATTATTAATATGAGCAACTTTTTTATATGTTGCTTATAATTTTCTTTTATTTCTCTTAAGATGTAAATTAATATAAGTTTGATTTTCCTTTCTAAGTCAAGCTTTGCTTGTTTATAAAATTTAGCTGACTTGATTTTAGTTTGAGTTTCTCAAATACTTGGAGAACTGACTTGAAATTCAAACATCCCAAAGTTCGGTCGCCTTTGCTCGTTTGTATCCTTATTTTTGTTTTTTTAGTAAGAATAACAAATGAGACCAAGGCAAGTAGTGTATGGGCACATAGATAATTAAAGAAAAAATATATATACATTTCAGTGAGGGAAAAAAAAACTATATATTGCCATTCATATGATTAAGGGATGATTGATGGTAAGAAAACAAAATGTTATGTTAATTTAAAAATTAACAAATTACAATATAATTATGTCAAATTTATAAAAGTTATTACGTTTCGTAAAGTATTCGTATCAAACTAGTCAAAACCATATCTTAATTATTTTATACTGAAAAATCAGGAAAAAACACAAAATCCTCGGCAACATAATCGGCAGTTTCTATTAAACCCAAATCCATTGGCACAAATAACCAATGACAAAGACTCGGCTACTAGACTGAAATAAAAAACTATTGAACAACGGTACAATTTCTCTCCTCGTCCTCCTCTTTTTTTTTGTTTTTTTTGTTCTCCTAACTTAATATTGAATCAATGTTTCAATGATTTGATTGTTGGATCAAGGGTTTGAATTGGATTTTGAACGTTGAGAGATGATACATTTGAAGGGTTTAAACTGAATATTGAATGTAGAGTTTCAAGAGTTATGAATTTTTTTTAATTGCTTGCATGATGTTTGTTGAATTGCAACAATGAATATGTCGCTATGCAGGACTGAGTTTCAAACTTTATGCAATGTTGCTACGAATGTAGAGGAGTTATGAATATTTTCTTAATTGCTTACATGATGTTCGTTGAATTGCCGCAATGAATCTGCTGTTGTGTAGGATTGAATTTCAAGCTTTATGCATATTACTTTGGATAGATTTTGCACAACACTATAAAATATTTTTGGATAATTTATTGTAATGCATTGTTTTTCAAAATAGCAATGACCAAAGGTGGAGCTTGTCTGTGTTGGTGAACACTTTTTGATATTAGACTCAATGACTTCTCTACTCAGCTTTTATATTTCATCAAGGTCATCAAGTAGCAACAGAGTACTCCATTAATTTTCTTACATTTATTCTTCAAAGGTATCTTCATGCGTGAATTATTTACAATTTGGTCTTAAATTAAATGGGATGATGAATTTTACAATGTTCTTGTCAAAGGAGAAACCTTGATAAGCTAGATCGGGGCTTTTGTTTTTTTTTTTCTTTTTTTTTTTCCTTTGTTAACATTAGTCGTACATAGTTAACGGTAGGCCACAATAATTTGCGAATTTGAGAAGTTCTTAGGTAGTATTTGGTTCATTGTAATAAAACATAATAGAATAATTATTTTTTTTAATCAAAATGTTCATTCTCTTGTTTAGTTGATTAAAAAAATAATAAAAATACATTGTAAAGAATATGACCGTTGCAAAAGTTTCTATTTAAAAAATATGACCGTTAAAGTGTCCATTTGAAAAATATGTTTTTTTGAAAAAATAATAACAATAGATAAGGAATATTTAAATTGAATGGAGAAAGAAATGGAGAGTTTGTTGGAGAATGACAAGAAAAATAAGGTTAGCTAAAATAGAAAAGTAGGTTTTTAGCTACAATTTGACTAAACATTTTGCTACTTTGATAAGGACGCTCTTAAGAGAGGTGAATATAACCTAAACTATTGTTTAAATTTCGTACTAAATTGACTTTTATTAATACACAAAAAGACTAGATTAACTCAATACAAACTTACAAACACATATATAGCTAGTTAAATATTTTCAATTTGACTGGTCAACTGACCCATATTCTTGTGCTTCGAGTCGGTTGTAATATTATTTGACAAAAAAATAATATATAAATTTTATAAAATGAATATATATCATTTGCACAATTTTTAAAATATATGTTGAAAAATTTGAATGTCATATATTATGTATAAAAGTGAATGTAATAAATAAAGTACAATACTTTTAAACTCTCTTAACATGTGTTTAACTATAAGAAATAGTTCACTTCCCTGTTTCGTCCCAATTTTGGAGAGAAAGTGAAGTGTTTAAAATGTTTGTACACTCGCCTCTCAAAATCCCTCAATGCGCTTCACTTTTCCTCCTTTAAAAGAATCCAAACATGATTTAACTAACTTTACTCCTTCAAATCCCTCACTTCTCCTCCTAAACCATCAATCCAAATGAAGGGTTCTCTCTGTATGTTATCCATAAAAAAAAATTAAATTGATCCGATAATTATAGCACAAATGTTAGAACATAACTGACTTGACAGTGTAGCTCTTCCCATTTTAAACTGTGCCCTTGTATTGTGTTTTGTAATGCATCTGTTTCTGGTTGGTGTCTTTGGTTTTTACTCATTCATGCAACAATATTATTATGCTATGAGTTCTAATTATCTCAACATATTTTCTTATGGATTGCATGTACATGTAGCATGCTTAAGAATGATATATAATAATAAATTTGCATTTGTTATCCTCAAACCCTCATTTTTTCATTGGGTAAAAAGTTAAATCTAATGTGCCCTTTTTTCTTTTTCTTTTTTCATGCAGGGTGTCATGGATTTTGCCCGACTAATTCCTGAATACATGTTACCGCTGCATCTTTTCACCTTTCTTTCGTTAGGTGGTACAAGAAACAACAAAAAGCCCTAAGAAGAAAGGAACAATTGAATAGTAATCGGAAACAGGAACAGTAAGATCGATGAGGTTTAAACCTAACATGTCACATGCAACACTTCCAAGATGAATGGAAGATTTTAATGTCGATACTAAAGCTTGAACATCTTTACTATGAATGGAAATGATGCAACGGTCATTTATCTCACTTGCCACCATTTTCAGCAGGGACTTCGGTTACAGCTTGCTGAAATATTTTAGTGCCACCATTTTCAGCTGGGACTCCAGTTACAGCTTGCTGCAATATTTGAATAACATGAATTTGAGTGCTCATTTGAATGAAGAAAATTATGAATAAAGATGGAAATGGGTTTCATAATTCCTTACCTGAATGCATGACAAGGTGTATTGCACATCGCTTGCTGAAATTTGGTAGTGAACAACAAGCCTAACTCTGCAACCATATAGTACTAACATTAAATTTTCGTACACATACCAAGTGTTCATGATAATTCATGGATGTTAGACCGAACTAAAGTAACAAAGTTGTATCAACCAAAGTGTCCTGTGCTATTGAACATCCAATTTCCAACTAAGACTTCCGATTCCATGACTCTAAAATCTCAGACTAAGAAGCATGGACAACATGTAACACAATACTGAAACCTGATAGTAGTGTAATTTACATAACATCTTAGGTAACTATGATGGGAGCTTCTATTTGCACACCACAGAAATACTCAATTCACACGTTTTTTTTTTTTTGTTTAGATATCAACTACCAAAACAAAAACCCAGTTCGGTACTTGATATCAAAACAATTAGGTTTTGCTCATAGTGGATATCCGAACAATTAATTTTTGTTCGGTAGTTGATATGTGAATGGAAAATATGGTGTGAACTGAGAAAAAGGATGATGTGCAAATAGAAACTCCCAACTAAGATGGATGATTTCAGGTTGTACATCTACTTTAAGTTGTATCCAAACTCAAAATAAGCAGTGGTTCCTACAGAATGACAATGAGGAAACAAGATTGGATAAACAACTTAGGATTTTAAATGATGTTCAAGCGCCGAAGCACACCTGGTTGAGCTCTCTGGCATCACAAGTATGCCGTGTTCTTCCAAATTCTTGCGGAGTTTTTGGGTTGTAATATTTGCGCCCTCTAAAATATCAAAATATACCTGGTCATAAGAAAAGCAAAGTGAATTCAAAAGTTGTTTATGTTCTAAGAAAGGAGCTCTAAAATTTGAACAAGTTGAAAAAGCACGAATAATTTAAGTATATAAGACATATAGAAATAATATAAAACAGATCCCATGAGAATAAGAATCCTCACATATTCACACATGTATGTGCAGATAAAGTATGGAAATGATTCAAAAGTCAATAATTCAGAGAGGCAAAAAAGCAAAGCTAACGGTTGGTATTGGAGATCTTTTTCTCTCTCTCTCTCTCTCTCATTGTTTGGGCAGTTTTGTTTGGTTGAGTTCTTAGAATTTGTTTTCTGAATTTTTTTCAAGAACTAGTTTGATGAAAATAATGAAAAAATCAAAAACACCATTTTTTTCATATGGTTCTCTCTTTTTTGGGACAGAAGTAATTTTTGCAAATTCAAAAAAATATTTTTGTTGGTGTTTATCAAACTAGTTTCTAATTTTTCAAAAAATGAGTTCTGAAAACTCAACTCCTTGGGTACAGACAGATACTATGGAAATCTTCATGATTTACTAATTGAGCAAAAACTAAACATATAGGCTACACATTGCAGCAACCTGAATGGGATTTGATCTGTGCAACTCATGTACGAAAGGGGCAAATATAAACTCCAACTTATTCTATATTTTATACGTTAATAACTAGGCTACTTACTATGTTGGTCTCGACTGAAGTGACATCAGCTTTTAGTCCTTTGATTTTACTCAGTCCTTCTGAAAAACCAGATTCATAAAATGTGAAAGAGAAACATCAGCCATGACATCTGCATATATATATATATGTGTGTGTGTGTGTGTGTGTGTCTCTATAGTTGGCCAATCAAATTGTTTGTTGATGGACCACCTTCACATATTGTGTATGGATACTTCAAAACATAATCTTCAGTTATGGTGGAATATAGTGGATTGAGAGTAACATATACTTAACACAACCACGAAGCAGTGCAATTAAGCCGACACCATTTGATTGGGACACCAAGGCTTGGTTTGGTTTGCTTTCCAAGCAAAGAAGTTCAATATAATTAATTATGTGTGATTTTTTTACTAAACCCATGTTTTTCCCAAACATATTTCCTAAAATCAAGTTGTTTTGAACTCATTTCCCAAAACTCATGTTGTTTTATGAAGTCTTATTTTAAAAACACAACTTAAAGTCTAAAATCTTATTTTGAAAACATGATTCTAATAATTTTTACAATAAACTAATTGAAGTCGTGTATCCAAAAACACAAAAAAACTCAATTATGTACTAATCAGGAGAGTAGTTTACCTGCTAAAGTCTTGGCCTTTTTGTGATCACCATCAAGCTTTCCAACGTTCTCTTTCAATGCAACTAAAGCTGCAGCGCACAATACACCAACTTGTCTCATCCCACCACCTAAGGTCTTCCTAAGCCTCTTGGCCTACAATACCATATAAAAAAGATCTAGGTACCAAGTTTTTACAGTTAGGTTGTGTTTGAATTAAGGATTTGAGGAGCATTTGTGGAGAAAAAGAAAAAGGAAAAGGAAAAGTGAATGAAATAGAGATCTCTTTTTTTATATTTATAAATTTTCCCTTCCCTTTTCCTTTCCCTTTTCCTTTCACTCCACAAATTCACTCAAATCGTTGATCCAAACACAGCCTAAGGAAAAATGGAATTCTCACTTGTAGCAAAACTATCCGTAATACCCGTGCAATGAAGTCTTTTGAACCAACAATGGCAGTTCCAACTGGAGCACCCAGACCTTTTGACAGGCATACCTGGATTACATAATTTGGACAGAAAAAAGAATGGGGGGAAAAAAAAAAAAGCAGAAGAGACATTGAATAAATTATGTGAAATAATAAAATCATAATAACCTAGATAAAAATTAATGTGTCCAATTATTTGGGCTAATTTTATAAGTTTCAGGATTGATTCTACACACTTTCTTCTTCTTCAAAAAAAAAAAAAAGAACTAAAGTATAAACAAAAAGAAAAACACAAAAAACCAGCAAGGCAGAGATAACTTAGAATGCCAGACACAATGTAAACCTACCGAAACAGAATCAGCAGCTTGCACCAGTCTGTGAACAGGAACTCCAAGTGCCTGGAGGACAAATTTTATCAAGTCAAGAACTTGGGTAGTTGTTCATATATGTGTTTAACAATAAAAATATCGGGTATTTCAACTAAAATAATTATGCACTAGATATGGTCTAACTGTCCTCTGGATCTAAAAAATTTATAAGTTGCATAGATATGGGAAGGAAATGAAATTCAACTCAAACCGTATTTTTCACATACAAGTGGATTGTGTGAAACAGAGTCTTACCCAATATTACCAATGTGGCAGTGGAATAAAGATGTTAATTCATTTATGGAATCCTAGAGAAACCTCACACCAAATCATTATTTAGAATGACAAGACATACTTCATTTCCCGGTCTTGTTCAATAGAGCGACATATGTTTCGTGACTACTACTTTAAAAATATGCAAGTTTTAGAGCACACTAAACCTTAAACGTCACTCGAGAAAAAATTGAAAGACAACAATTTATTTGACTTATCATTTGAAGGGGATTCCGTCAAGAGGTGGTCATAGAAATATAAGCCATCATTGCCATGTAAGCAATCACCGCCATTGATGCTATGACATCAACTTCAGGTTACCCTGTCATTCCCGTCTTTTATTGTGGCTTTCAGTTAAAAGTTTACAACAACCAATCTCAACCTCCTTTGCCATGTAACTATGATAAAGCCCTTCAATATTGGGACACAAGATGTAATTGTAATAATGGTACATATGACTTTTTAATTTTAATTAGTATTGTGTAGCTTTTTTAATTTTGTTTTACTTTTGAATAAAACTATTCATATGTTTGGCATATAATAAGTTTTTAAATATATAATTTTTTTACATGTCCAGGCTACATTTTTTGAAAATCGCCATGTTGGCATGTCTGTGTGTTTGATTATAGGGTGAGCCATCACATGCTATCTAGCACTGGACAAGAAGTAATCCTAAAACTACATTTCAAATGCTTCTGTGTATATTATCTTATAAAGGAAAAATGGAATAAATAAATTTTTTCTGAAAAAAAAAACAGTTATCCATTCAACCTCCTCATCACCAATAGTCAATCCAAATAAAATTCTCCAAACTAAATGGTCCTCTAGCTGTCAGTAACCAAAATACAGTAAAAATGATTCCGAAGGAAGTATTCTCCTGAATATCTATCTCCCACTACAGAAGATTGCACACCATAACATTGTAGGATACAAATGCATAGAGACAAAATGGGGAAAAAAGCAAAAGAAAACTCACCACAGATGCATTAAATATACGAGCGCCATCAATGTGAAGTTTCAGCCCATGCTTCTTTGCTAGCTCTCCAACTTTGTCTATATACTCTACTGGAAGGCATCTACCGCCAGTGCTGCATTTACTAAAATATCAGTACTGACTTTTCATAGAAAATTTTAAATTATTAGCAAAATTGATCTTCAAAATGTTAAAAAAACAATTGCAATCATTAGACAGATATTCATTATGCTCGAATATGCATTTTCCAATCCTACATCCTGAAAGAGGACCATTACATAAACAAAACAATGCCCAATTAGTACACATTAATGTGTGTTTGGGAGGAAAAATATTGGGTACACACCTAACATTTGGCATAGTACACAAAGTAATTGCCCCGAGACTATTATGAAAGTTCTACATCGTGCTAATGGTGAAAGGTTTGATCCTGGGTCTCTAGCACAACAACGAAAAAGCGGACAATTATGAAACAAAGACCAGCAAAATTAAATATATTTTAAAACAGAAGTTATCAAATCACCATGCATAATCAGGACAGTGACCTGAAATGACTGCCCCATTTCCTGTACAATCAAAGATTCAAAGGGAAATTGAAAGAAAACTTTTCAGGTCCACAAGCATGCTCAGTCCATCTCGAAGGTTCCCAACAAAAATGAAGGATAGGACAGAGTTGACCCCACAAGCAAGTGGGAGAGTAGTCATCAGGAAATTAAAAAGGCATATCCCCTCCTTAGCCAATGACCCCCCTAACTCCACAAGAACAAGCAAAATACAATTTAACCAAATACAAGTGGGATCCTACCAAATAATCAATTATTATATCATTAGATTCATTAAAGATCTACTTACTAGTAAGTTAAAAGGAATCTGCATTCTTTAAAAAGTGAAAAAAGCTAGCAAAAACAAAATAAGTCGGCCTAAAAAACCCTTTTCTTTTGTTTTCCCCCCAAACATTTTCCATACATGAGACAGATTGTCATCTCTCACCATCCTTATCCGTTCTTTCTCGCATTACTATCCAAACAAGAGGAAGAATATTCTATCATTTCTTGTATTTTCTTTTTCCCTTGCAAATAATTGAATCAAAGCGAATATGATCAAATGATTCAAATAATCAAATTTTCCATCATAATTTCAAATGCATTCACGAAACATGAGTACTTTCTAGAATCAAATCAGAAGTGAATATGATCAAATGATTCGACAATCCTAATTTTCCATCAGAATTTCAAATGCATTCACGAACCATGAGTACGTACTTAGCATGTGTATTTTCCAAGCAGATAAGCCGAGTAATCGGATAACAAATCGCCATCCTAGGGTCTCGGATGGCAGCTTCAATGAGATCAATATCCATTGTCCCGTCTTTGTTATTCTTCACGGTCCTTGGATGTACACCTCCAATTGTGGAAATGCCTCCATTCTCATATATGTGGATATGCGAATTGTCTCCAAGAATGACTTCACTACCCCTAACATCACAATGAACAAGCACACTAATAAGGTTACCCATAGTCCCTGAAGGGACAAATAGGGCGGCTTCCTTGCCCGTGATTCTTGCCATCTCTGTTTCGAGGCGAAAGGCCGTCGGGTCATGGCCGAGTACATCATCATCAACTTCAGCTTTGGCCATTGCAACCCGCATTGATTCGCTCGGTTTGGTCACTGTGTCCGAGCGGAGATCCACCGTTCTAGTCACCATTTTTCTGAAAATAAACCAAATAATCATAATAATAACACATCAATGTAACTATTCAATTAAAAGCAAAACTTCAACTGCTAAAACATGTAAGAAAAATAAATTTCAAATAGTAAATCCAAAGAAAAAAAAGCAGAGGTATTAAGGCTCACGATTGTGTCTTTCCACAACCATTTTTGATGATATTCACGTGAAACAATTAGTGAATAGTGAAACGCCAAATAAAATTTCAGACTAAAGTTTGTCAGTTTTGGGAGTTGGAAAATAACATTGAGATACAAAATCTGTTTGCATATTCAATGAAAACAGGGGGGTTTGTATAATATTCACAGTTAAAAATTGTCCAAAAATAGATTATGTAAACTCTTAATGCTCTGTTTCGTTCACGTGAATGATATTCTGTTGGTTTATAAAAAATATGAAAATGTGTGTTACAAATGGAATCAATGTTGCACAATTCTATTTCATTAGAGTTAACCAAACAATCACAACTAAAATTCTGATTCATAAACATACCTCTGAGTCTCTTTACAAGCACTTCTTGTTCACAGTCTTCAAATAAGCAAAATTGCTCTCTTCTCTTGCCTGAATTTTACGCAGAAATGCAAGAAACTAACCCAATCTCACACAACTGCACACACAACCCACAAAAAATTTCAAGAAGATCAGAGCAAATTACATCCAAAAGCAAAGAAACAAGAAAAGAAAATCAAAAGAGAGAGTTTTGAAAACATGAACAAAACTCAAAATCAATTACAAGATCAACCCAAGTTTTGGAAAATAGAAATGATTTGTGGGTGGTGTACAAATCTGGGGGATTTATATGAGTGGTGTTGGAGGACGAACAATCCCAGAAAGAACCCAGAAACCTAACCCCACCATCACAACAAGAAAGGGAAAAGGGGCCTATGAATTGTCATGCAACGGGTTACAGAATCGACAAAAAGTTAAACAAAAATGCTAGGAGTCCTAAAAATTCTATCAAAACTTTTATCAAATGTCTTACATAGTGTGTGATCCACATGAGACTCACATTATGTGGGTCCCATACACATTTGATAAAATTTTTAATAGAATATTTAGGGTCACTACCATTACGCAAAGTTAAAATACACACGTATCATGTCAAATAAATGCAAATATATACCCATCACATCACACAGCGCACACATATTTTACGAGTGGCAACCTCTTAAGCTGCCTCCCTTTGGAAGCGGGTTGCGTTTTTGTCTTTTTTTTAGTTTTTTGGGTTATATTAATTTGAACTATTTTAGCTTGGTTTGGAAGAATTTTTTTGATTTTTTTGACTTTTTTTATAAGAGAAAATTGTAATGATTATCGGTTGAATTTGTTATTTTATTTTTTGTATCTAAAATAACTTATTTTATTTTTTTTTTGACTATTTTAACCAAAAAAATCTAACTTTTTTCGTCTGAAACGGAGTTTAAGATGACCACAAAACACATACTTGCATGCATAGCCCGTGGTGTGTGGTCCATTCCAAAGATCCACCTTTCCTTTCTAATCCTAACGCAAGATTCTTCTTGACCTTTTTTTTTTATTTTTTTATTTTTTTATTTTTATTTAATTGAGAAAATAATTCTTGTTAGTGTTTGGTTATAACTCTCAGAATTATTTTTAAACAAATTTTTCTTTATTTTTCCTTCTTTTTATATATATATTTTAGTTAATTTTTTTAATTTTATTTTACAGATGCATTAAGTTTTGATGTGTAAAAAAATTTAACAAAAATATGAAAAAAAATTACTAAAACAAACGAAAACTCAAATAAAAATATTCACAAATTTTTGTTTGAATTTTTTAATAATTTTAATATGTTAATCAATTTATTTTACTTGTTAGTTACATTTTGATTGAGTGTATGTAAAATGTATAAAGAATGACTAAAATATATAAAAGATAATAATTAAAAAAAAAAACAAAAATTGATCTAAAAACAGCTTTTGAAAAATCAGACCAAAATTTGATTTTTTTTTTATAATTACATTTGTGTGTGAAAATAATTTGAAATAATTATATTTTAATAATATTACATACTCAACAAAATTATTCAAAAAACACTCATAAAAAATATATTCAGAAGCCACAAATTTTGGACGTGGTTAACCTTTCACAAATTTTAAATATGTACTATACTCTCCACTAGAATAATGTTTTAAACATTCGTAATAGGTAGGGGGTGAAAATTGGGTCAAGGTTGGGTCAGCTCACGGGTCAGAAAATTAGGCCAGACCTATGGAGTATTTAGGCCTTGGATAAGCTGGCGGGCCTGGATATATATTTTTTTAATTTTTTCTATCAAAATTTTATTCTTTTCTACTGAAAATGACACTAGGTCTTGGGCAGGTCGAGCCTCAAGCCGGTTTTTGAGTGGGTCTTGAGTGGGCCGTTGGGCTAGTTCGGGCTTCAAAATGACGGCTGAAACCCAGACCCATAGTCCTAGCATAGGCTTGGGCTCGGGGTCGAGCTCACTTGGAGTTGCGAGCGGATTTTTAGCTGCCCACGTACAGCGGACCATTTTTACGCCCCTAGTAATAGGTAATATTTTCCATTGTCCTATTATGAATGTACTAGTGGTAGGAGTGTAAAAATTACCCGCAGCCCGTGGGCAACCCGAAGTAGGCCCGGTTCGTTTAGGCTTGTTTAGGCTCGGGTCCAAGCCTAACCCCGAGCCCCTGGGCCATTATTTTGAAGCTCGGCCCTGCCCGTGGCCCAGTCCATAAGCGCGTCCTGAGATTCAGCCCGCCTGAGGCCCAATGCCTTTTTTAGTAGATAATAATAAAATTTTAGTAGAAAAAATTTATAAAAACAAAAAAAATGATCAGGCCCGCCCAAGCCCGGCCCAGGCCTACCGGGCCGATCTAAGGCCCGGCCCACCCAAAGCCCAAATACCCCTAGGCCTAATTTTTTGACCTGTGGCCCCGACCCAATCCGAATTTTGGCGAGAGCACTCGAGACCAGACATAGGCTGGACCAGGCCAGGCTAGGCCAGATTTACACCCCTGACTAGTGGGTATAAGTTACCGTAACTTTTACTTGCACTTGCATAGAGCACAAATCCATTTGCACCTTTATAAATATTAATCTCAAAAAATTATAATAAAAAAAATCTCTAAAGTTTGACATTTGTAACAAAATAAATATTGAAATTTTAATTTTATTAATTTAATCCTAATTTTTTGATTTATTTTCAATTTAAATAATTTGTCTATTTTTTTTAATGAAATCGATGGAAAAAAAATGGTATTTTAGCTATTAAATTCAATGTCGCGGTATACATAAAACATCTAAAATATTACTATTTTTGTTGAGTTTAATGAGTAAATTTTTTTTTAAAAGTTTTTTTTTTTGTTGATTTTACTTATAAAAATAGAAAAATGATTTAAATTAAAAACAAATCAAAATATTAGAATTTAAATTGATAAAATTAAAATCTCATAATTTATTTTGTTACAATGATCAAATCCTTAGATTTTTTTAATAATTTTTCCAATTAATTATTTTGAATTGCTCTCATTGAGGCACAAACCTTCTTTTTTTTGTCGTTCATGTTCTATTTTTATTATATAAATTACAATAAATTATCTTAAAATTTAAAAAAATATGATTTCACAATTTAAATTCAAGTGATGGTAGTGGCAGAAATTACTTTGTGGAGGGGAGGGGAGAGGAGAGGAGGAAGAAAGATGACGAGAGAGATGGTTGCTGCTGCCGTGATGGGTGGTTATGGTTGGCAGCAATGATGGTCGAGGGGTGGGAGAGAGGGTTGTTTGGCCACAAATATAAATTTGAATTTGTTTAACCATATAGTTTCATGAAAATTTTAATTTAGATTTATTGCTAATTAGTCCATAACTTTATTTCCCTTAGACAACAATTGATTACTCTATCATTTAACAAAATCTCATCATTAAATTTTAGATATTCTCAATCATGTATGTCTCGGTTAAACTCAATTGTTTTTGTAATTTATGAGGGTGGAAAACTTTGGATTTAAAAAAATAGATAGTAAGTGCCTTTTTAAAAATAGATCATCTATTTTTCGAAGGCATGATAAAATAGAAATATCGCCGTTATTATATCGAACTATTTTTTTTTATAAATAATATACATAAAGAGTTTTACAAAATGAACAGTTTGAATTATTGAAACATGACCCATAGTAGATCCTACGAACTCGAACATGACAGTTAAATTCATATTTGAATTTGAAAAAAACTAAATCGTTTACCTTATATAGCTTTCCTTTCTCCTAATCCTCTCTTGTCAATTATAAAATTAATAATTAACTAAACAAGATAATAGCATATTTAGAAGGGAAGAAATTAAGAAAAGATTCCTATAATTATCCAAAAAAAAACTTAAAAATGAACAAAACTAAATTTATATATATTTTTTACAATAATATCACGTCATCATATTAATTTTTCATTCAATAACAAATATCATATAAGTTTGACCAACCCATTATACATGTGTGCAAGTTCGTTTGGGAAGCCATGGTTTGGGTTTTTTTGGCTATTTTAGCCACAAAAAATAAAATAGGCTATTTTAGCAATAACAAACAAAACATCACACCCAACCCATAATCATTACATTCTTCTCTCACAAAAAAACTCAAAAAAGCCAAAAAGTCAAAAAGCCCTTCTGAAACCAAGCTTTTAAGCCCAGACTAAAATAGCCAAAAAAATCAAAAAGTCAAAAAGCCAACCCACTTCTCAAACGGAGGCAAAATTATTTAAGAATAAATAGTTACTTGTCAATTATGAAACTGAGTTGATCAAATTGACGTGGTATGACTATCTTCTACAAGAAGAAGCCAAACAGGGGATAGCTATGTATGGAATATTTGTAGACAACACGTAGACAAATTGTGTTTTACAAAACAGCTAACTGTAGTTAACTTGGCACCCACGGCAAACTCAACACATAAACTAAAGTTGTGGGTTAGGTAAAGGCTGTTTTATATTGCATTTTGGTGTCACATGTGTGTAAATGGATGTTGATTCAAGCCCAATTTTGAGTTTGTTTCCAGGAAAGGAGGGTTGCAGAAATTCCATGACGGCTTGAATATTAGAGGAAGTAAAATGATTTAAAAGTTCACTTCTTAAATTTATTTTTTAGATTTAGGAAAAAATGTGCAATAAAATAGAGAGATAATGTGACCCAAAAAAGCAAAAAAGACAAAAAAGTTAAAAAAACTAACCTTTCCAAAATGGGCCTTAACGTATAATTGGTTGATGATTAAGAAAGATATAAATATTTTACTAGTCAGTCACATCATTAAATTTGAAAAGTGAATCATATTTTTTAGTTAGAATCGCATTGCCCATATGTCCTAAGTTATGATGTTTGTAGTATTTGATTATGATCTATTATGATATTAATTATAAATTAGTTACGACTCATTGCGAAATTGCTTATAATCTATTATGATTATTACTTTAGTTATAATAATAATAATAAAAATTGATTATACTTTATGCAATGTTTGATTATGACTCATTATTTTTTTTAGTTATAATTAAAAAAGATTTAATTATAATATTTGTGATAATCAATACTATAAATATCATAACTTATAAATGATATATACTGAGAGTATGTATTCTAAAATTACCCGAATATTATATATGTATATCATAGTATTTTTTGAGAACCATATGTATAATCATAGTTGGATGAAGAAAAAGTTGATTTTGTTTATTGCATTTCAAATTGATTTTGAAAACTGATAAAAATAATTAAAGGTTGTGGGTGTTGATTTTTGACCATGCAATTATATAGAGAACTTAGTTAAAGAGCACGCGGTAGAATAGATTAAGTCAACCACCTGCCAACAAGAAGATGAAAATACCGCGGTAATTCATTCACCTGGGGGCACCTAGACGATCAAG